GTTTGGGAAACAGAGTGCTTGCATTTCTGTAGAGAGGGGCAGGATGAGTGGAATTCCTTCCCTGCTCGCTCTCGAGCCTGCGCCAGCCTGACCGCAATAGGCAGTGGAAGGACAAATCCATCTCCTGCTTTCCCTTCCCGCAGGACACAGGGCTGCTAGCAGGAGGACACGGCTGAATGGCCTTGGCAGGAATATTTTGTGCTTATTTCCCTCAGCAGAACTGTTTGAAGGGTTATGGATTGTAATGGGAGGCAGCTGGAGAGGCTCTTCCCCTGCACGTTCCCCATGGCAATGGGTCTCATTCATTTGCTTCACTCTGTGATTCCCAGGATGTGGCTCTTGAAGTAAATTCAATTGACAGTAAATCTCTACCAGTCTCACTGTAGGACTGCAAGTTGAACATCATTGCTTTAGCATAAATCTTTACAAGAGATGTTAATGTTTAGTTAAAATATGCAAATATTTACTGACTTGTCTACTGTTTGTCAGCTTGGCATGCGAGACCTTGGATCTGATCCTTCTGTCTTGGCAGACATTGGGAATTTTGCCAGTAACATTAATAGGAACAGCATTGTGCCCTCTAATCTGTTTGTTTATGAAGTACAGCGAGAGTTATCTGGCTAGATGCTTTACAGTGAATTGAAAAAGCATCTGTTTGAAATTTTTTTAGGAACTGTCACATGCTTTAACTTATTATTATCTTAGTGTATGGACCCTTTGATTCCATGAAGCACATCAGTAAGATGTGGAGCATGGAAGTGCACAGTCATGAGTTAAACTGCCATGAAACACTGGATTTTAGTTCACGATGTTCTCTCCTCCTACATTGATTTTAATTTGAAGTTGGACTCATCAGACTGTGGAGTAGTTCTTCAGAGCCTCCTGTGCACCAAGCAGGCGTAGTGTTTACTTGGAAATAAATGACTGTGTGGATCACGTTGTTTATCACTCTTCTTCCTCAAGCTGTCCCTTCTGCCTTTCCCAGCCCCCTCTGCAGCTCTGGAGGGGAAACATGCAGCTTTATTTGGAGATTGGATTTTAGTTCCTCATTTCATGTTTGTTGACAAACCCCCTTTGGCAAGAAGGTGGAATACTCATTAGGAATATTGAGCCTGAAAATCGTTAGTTGTATGGGGAAAAAAAAAGAATTGCCATGGTTAGTTGGAAAAACCACCAAGGTTTAAGTAACACCAGTTGGAACTACCCAGGTCTTTAAAATAATAGTTTGTGGAAGATGAGCTGAGTACAACTTGGCTTTCAATGAAATGCAAGTCCAGTAGCTTCTCTTCTGCTTAAGGGCAGGAGTTTTTTTGAGGTGCAAAGTATGATGCCAGATGATATATTTATATATATAATTTCTTAGGTATGTCCACCTATTTTAGATATGCAGCTTTAAATAATGAGAATATGCCTCTTTACTGGTTCTTCAATATTTTGAAGATGTATTAAACTTCACTAGAGGATAAATTACTTCTCAGAATTGAATTTAGAAGTCTTTTGCCATGTGGTTTTCCAGGTCTTTTTGGGAAAGTGAATAATCCTGATGTTTGTTCTGTTACATGTTAGTATTTTAATTTCAGTTTTGCAGACAGAAGTGAAGCTCATAACTAATTTGCTCAGTTTTGCAAAGAGAGTTGGGAATATAGCACAGACCTTGTGACACTTCACCTTTCAGTTCTAATCTGTAATAAATTCTACTCTTAGAAATTCCAATTTTATGCCTGAAATCTTGAAAATAAAGATCTGTAAAACTGAAAATAAATTTCTTTCAACAACTGCCTTCGCTCCTTGGCAGTTAACGATTCTGTGAATACTTTAAGGTTGGAAAAGACCTCGAACATTGAGTCCAGCCTTTGACCAAATACTGCTGTGCCAACTAAACTGTATTGTGAAGTGCACTTGTATTTCGAGCACTTCCAGGGATGGGGACTCCATCATGGGAATGGGGGGAATGGGCAGCCCCTTCCAATGCTTAATCACTCTTCTAGTGAAGAAATTTTTCTTCATATCCAACCCAGACCTCTCTTGGTGCAGCTTGAGGCCATTTTCATTTGTCCTATCACTCGTTTCCAGGGAGCAGAGCCTGACCCCCACCTGTCTCAACCTCCTTTCAGACACTTCTGAGCCTCTTTTTCTCCAGGCTGAGCCCCAGCAGCTCCCTCAGCTGCTCCTGAGCACACTGGTGCTCCAGCCCCTTCCCCAGATCTGTTCCCCTCTTTGGGCTTGATGCCCTTCTTGAAGGGAGGAGCCCAGAACTGGAAACTGGACTTGAGGTGAGGCACCAGCAGAGGGGAACAGTCACATTCCTGGTCCTGCTGGGACTTAGGAACGGCTCTGAATGATTTTAAAAAGAGATAAGTCAGGTACTTCAGCAGACTAGGTTTTAAGAAATTGTGGTTGTAATTCATGTTCACAAGTCTCAGTTGCTGATTTAGGGTACCAAAACTAGAGAAAAAGATTTCTGAAGTTGGCAGGAAAAGTCGGGTGTCTCCAAGGAACAGTGTAGAGCTCTTGGATTGGAGTCTGAAGTAGGTGGCACAAATGCATAATAAATGTGCCTAATAAATGCTTGTGTCTGCATGTATGGCTATAGATGGGATTGAAATGAAATCTGAGAGCCTGAGTACATTATTTTCCATATGTTGTCCACATACTGGTTTTGTTTATTATAATTTGATTTTTTTCCAAACAAATTACACTGCAGTGGCTCCTTGTCTATCAGGTCCCATGAACTGTGATTTTGGTGGATTTTCTTACACTCTGAAATATCATTGGTGTGACTCAGTTTAGCCAGTTATCCAGGAGCTTGGTCCTTACTGCTCTTGCTTCCACTTAATTCATAGGATTTAGTTCCGTTTAGCTCAGTTTAGCTTTAGTTATGTCCTCTGAAGTGCTCTGGAGTCTTCAAATTGACCAGAGAAATTGTGTGGGCACTGCTTGGTGTGTAAAATCCAGCTTCTCAAACAGCTGAATTCTGTATTTCTCCAACCAGTCAGGATAAGGCAATTGATAAGGAACATCTGTGGTGCCATGCTGGAGGAGAAGGGTTTCAAATCTGTCAGCTGTGCTGGCCAGGTCACTTAGGATGGGATCTGTGTTTAATCACTCTTTGGGAATAAACACACAGAAGCTCTGCTCAGCCTTTTGGTCAAAGGAATTTTGGTTATATGTCAGCCAGGAAGTGAGGAAATCAAAAGTACAGCAGAGTTCATGGAGTGCTCTATTTTCAGTCCCTTAGGAGGAAAACAGAATGTACATGAGAAAAACATCAATTAACTGTTGTGTCACTGTGGAAGCAGATTCTAGATTTGTGAAATACACAGTGGCCTAAAATGGTAGTGAAGTGGAAACCAGTGCAATTTTTAGTTGTATCTAGAAAAGATCCTTGCATACACAGCTTAAGAATACCTAATGTTTATGTAATTGAAAATCCGTGCTAAGTGATCCAGCAGAATCTTTAATAGAATTACCTCATGACTGAATTTACTCATATGTATGGAAATGCAAAACTTCCTTGCCTGTTCCTGTTGTTTGGAAGTGTGGACTTATTTTTAGCAGAAAAAGAAATATCTGGATGAATGAGGTAATATTTTGTAAGGCTGTTATTAAGGAAGAGGCACAGATCACAGCTTTGTACCAGGATAAATGCAAAATATTCATGCTTGTGTTCCTTCATTTTAGAGAAGATTTTTTTATTTGTTGTAAATAAGAAATTTTTATATTAGTGTTTTAAAACGGAAGCTGGTTTAAGTCTTGAAAAATCAATATTCCTTTATGTAATTATTTTGATACTGAATGGAAATTTAAGAATAGAAGGGAACACAGAACACTATGTTGTACAATATATGAAAAAACTTGTTTACGTTTCTTCTGAATGTTGGCTTAGGCATGTATTAATGGGAAAAGTGGGATAATGGATTATTTTTCATAAGAGGAAAATGCATTTATTTGACTTAAATTCTTGAAGTTACTTTACCTTTGGTTGAAAATCAGAAAATACCAAGTATAAAGAAAGCTTTTAACAGTGAATTTTTAAAAAGGACTAAAACTAGTTATTTGAGACAATTGTAATAGTTGATCTCTAATCACAAATATTGACAATATGCTGCTCGCTAAAAGCAAAAATGAGAACTCTTAAGATTTTTCCTCTTTCAATTATCAGAACCTATTTTTGTGAAGTCAGCTTTAATGTACAGTGTCTCTAGGGATGTGTATCATGCATTTAAATATGTCAATGAAGGGAGAATGTGGTCAGGGATTACAGAATTGCTTTGCTTTTCTGCTGGTGGTTGAGATGTGGATAACCATTTATCTTAGTTTGTTGGCAGATAATGTCTGTCTGTGGACAGAAATTTTTTATAACTGTCTCAATCCCCCCCAAACATTTACTTTAAAATTATTTAAGAAGTTCTGCACAAAGTTGTTGGTGTGGCAGGGTTATCTAGACTTCCTCAGCCATAAATGTAGCTAAACCAGCAGAAGGAAGAAGAGACAAATGGTTGATTTGTTGATCTCCTGGTTTTCCTGTCCTTCCCCGTCCATCCTTGTTGTGCTTCACCCAGAGGAAACATCTCCTCCCTTGTGGAGGTGAGAAGTGCTTGGAAGAGAAGGTGTTGTGGAGTACATGGCTGCAGGCTCAGAGACAGCACCTAGGGGATGAGTTGTGTTCCTTCCAAGGCAAAGGTCACGGTGCCACTGAAGACCCAAAAGCCTCTGCTTAAATCCATGCTGACTTTAAAATTTAAAACCCCTACTTACATTCTTAAAATCACTCATGGGCTTTAAGTACCTTCTTGAATTAGAATCAAAATTGAGAGCTGGGAGCGATGGAGAAAAGCCTGGGAAGAACTCAGTTAGTGTTGGTGTAGGAAATGTGAGTGGCACAGCACGAGGGGGATGTGATACAGCACCTTGAGACGGGAATGGAAGTTGGTTGGCAAGTTGTCAGTGCCATTCCACAGCTAACCAACGTTTTATCGTCCCCTCTGCCCCCGCTCTAGGATTTCTGTCCCTGAGTCATGGCAGACAGAAGACCAGAGAAGGCATGTGAACAAGCATGTGAATCCCTTAAGCAGCAGGATTATGAAGTGGCAGTGAAGCATTGCACAGAGGCTCTCCTTTCCCTCAGCCAGTACCCCCCAGCTCACCTCCCGGAGCCCTGCCAGGCAGAACTCGACCGCATCAAAATCGAGACTCTTCTGTATAGAATTGCTTCCTTTTTACAACTTGTGAGTGTGACTCTTTATAGTATCTAGTGAACTGGAAAGAAAAGTCAAATATCTTGTATTGTCAAGATTTAAATACCACTCAGAATTTTTGGCGTGTTGCTCTGCCCACAGAATCCCTCTTGCTATAGCATCTGTGAGGCTTCTGTCTTGTAGCTCTCCCTGATCCATTTATTTTCCAGCATTTGAACCTCTTGGTTTGGGTCTCAATCACAGTTTTCTAAACAAATAAGGAAAAATACTTTAAACATTTAAAATATATATTTTATATATATATATATATATATATATAGTCTAGGAAGGCAAAATAGCTGGTTTAAGGTCTATATGCTGAATTACATACCAGATTACCTTATCTTTTACGAGCATCAAATTAAAGTTTCTGCAAATAAAAACACTCAAAAAACAAAGTCAAGAAATGCCAGAATCTAGGTTGGTTCATACCTTCTTTAGCTCCATTTGCATAGGCCTAAAATTATTCTTTTTATGCTTAATCCCAGCTTTCCAAGGCTAGGCTAGAGCATATCTGGTGAAAGATGTAACTTTTAGTCTCTGGCAAATATTTAGTGGAAAGGTGAAAACAGCTCTTGTAAAGGTTTGTAAATGCAAAGCAAGAGGCATAACCCTGAATTACAGGTGACCCCATTGCCAAAGTTGTGTCCTTCCTTTAAAGCATCACAGTTTCTTAGAGGAAAGGACATTTCAGTGCTTAAGAATAAACCTACAACCTGCTTTTTCTTACCTTTCTGAAATGCTGTTACAGATTTACAGTGATCTTCTCCACTCCAAATCTTCATGTATTGAGTAGGAGCTGTTTCATCCCAGGTGGAAAAAGTTTGGCCAAGTCACAAGACCTTGCTGGGCAGCTTTAAGACAAATCTTGCCCATCTCATTAAGGGAGTGTTTTTAAGCATTCTTTAAATAGATAGCTGGATTGGACTGTTCAGTGTGCAAAACAAGAACTGGGAAACCTCTTAAATGAAGAAGTGACCTATCTTATGGCTCCTGAGGGGAAGAGATTCACAATAAATGTGGTTGGATTTTCTAGCAGAAGTTGTGTTACCACAGACTTGACCTCTCAAAATTATTTCTGTAAGCCAATATGCAGATTGGTGCTTGGATATTTAATACATTTCTGACATCACTCTTTGGAAATCCTCCGTGGCACCTATCTGGATGCTCATCATAGTATTGCTGTGAGTCTGTAGGGACTTTGGAAAAACACTTGAAATCAAAACCTTCCTATTAGGGACCTGAATTATATAGATATGTAAAGTCTTAAAAGAGGAAAACAATCCAAATTTTCCTTCTTGTTTTACTAAACAAAGTAATCTTTAAAATCACCACTGAAAAGACAGAATAAAATAATATCTTAAATTTGAACATTGCTATATTAATGCAAAATTAAAAACCAAACAGCATCTCAAAAGTTAAGTTTTGTATTTTTTACTAGGTGTTGTGAGCCACCCACAAACATATAACACACACACACTTTTGCCCATTCAGGCTCAACTTTTCAAATGCCCATGTGCTGAGAATTTGAGAAAAAGTCAGCATTTTAACTGAGAATTTGAGGAAAAAGTCAGAAATTAGTGTTAATTCTAAGAATTAATTATATTATAATTGACATATGACTTATGTTCTTTACATGTTCCACCCAGAAAAAGACAAGGTAACGGTTTCTAAAAAGTTTTAAAAGACTTGTAATTCAAGCATGTAGTTGTTTATGCTAACTGGAATAATGCTATTTTTAAACTTTTCATGTTTTACCTTTCAGAAAAAGTATGGGCAAGCAGATGAAGACTGTAGGCATGGTATGCTTATTTCTTTTTTTATTACATAGTGTTATGAATTGCAGTCAGTTGTCTGAATTTTTAAAACTGATGCCCAGATTTGTTAATTTGCTAACAGTGTTTTTTTCCTATTTCAAATTATTTATCTGCTTTATAATACTTTTTCTGCCTTTTTTTTCCCTTTTTTTTCCCCTTAAAGAGAGATCTCACTGTTTTTCAGCTCTTACTCAAGTACCAGGACTCAAATACATGTCTTTGGCTCAGTGGTGCTATTTGGCTAATATTTATTTTAGTGCACAAATGTCGGAAGAGTTGATAATGTTAGGATTCTCACAAAGACAAAGACACAAAGGCAGCTGATTTTTCACCTCTCTTCCCAGGGACATGTTGGATATTTTGGTTTGCATTTGGGACTTAGTTCAGAGGAAATCAAGATGATGCACATTTGTTAAAGCTTCCAAGCGTGCCTATGTCACATTGAAGTTGAGCCTTTCATGTGTCACTGCCTTTAGGTATTTTTGAAGGAATTTCAAAAATCCCTAATCCTCTGTTGTTAATTTATGATGCAAATTATTCAGAATTCACTGAGAACTCACTGAGTTTGCAGTGTGTTGGAACAGAGTTTATCAGTTAGATTTGGAAAGTAAAGGGGAGTAGATCCCACCTTCTGGTTTTAATTCTTTAACTACTCTCAAACATTAAAGGAATTTTTTTCAGGTGACAGTTTTGTTGCACAGACTGTGATCTACTCTTCTGACATTCCTATGTTAGCAGTGATAATCTTTAAATTTCTCCTTTCTGGGTTGGTGGGTTTTATGTTGTTTTGGGGTTTTTAAAATGTGCTTGTCTTCACTGATAGTCAAATCATAGTTGGGGAATTTGTGAGGCTCTGCAGCCTGCTTGTGAAGCTCCATAAAAATTGACTAAGAAAAATAAACTTGCTTTCTGTAGGTGTAAAATTAAAGTTTAACACCTTGAAAAAAGTCTGATTGTCGGTTAATCAGTATAATTCTTGAAATAGTCTGAAACTTAAAAAAGAATTCTTTGACCTTATTGATGTGTGCTATGAGGGTGTAATAGTCTAAGTTCAGAGTTGTCTTTCATGATGGCAAATAAAAGTGAGAGACATATGGAAAGCTGCTGGTTAAAGGAGGTGGGAGGGAGAATGCTGTTTTTAATGAACAGTGTTCTCATCAATGAGCTCTGATGGGTTTGTCATGGGGGACAGGGGTGACTTTCATCTGTGCAACTTTTTCTTGGTGTGTGTGTCAGTTGTCAGTATCTCAAAGGAACTGTCATGGTAACTGCTTGTCATCTCTCACTGGACAGGCATAGAAGTGGGTGGAATAGGACCATTGATGTCTATCTTCTTTTTTAAAATTAAGTAGAAAAACCAGCCTTTAAATGTATATTAGTTAACAAAGAAATAGCATCCAGATTTATGTTAATTCACTTCATTTGTGCCAGTATATTCTGCACATATTATTTCCCAGATCTAAAACTAAAGGACAGTTTTGAACTTAATAATGCCATATTTATGTATGTATATAAAAGTGTTGTGTACGTGTTTTTATATATATATATATATCTCCATATATATATATATTCATATACACACATGCCATATTTTTATGAATATATGAATGAGAAATTTGGTTGTGGCTCTCCATGATGTGTGGTTATCAATTGTAGCCCAGCACCTGACCTTTAGAGTATCTTCATTTATGATCCCAGAAGATCTTTGGTTTTATGTTTAAAGTTGTTTAAAGTTTATTGTTGGGAAGAAACTATCTTAGCATACACTCCTTGATACTCGCAGGCTTTTTATAATGGGCAAAGCTTTATTCAAGCTGCTCTTCTGCCTTTTTACAAGACATGACATGTTGCACAGCTGGGATGGTTTTATTTGAACTTGAATGATCAGTGTATTCTGGAATAGCTGGAAAAATACATGTTCTTTACATGTTCTTCTATATGCTGCTTGCAGTGTTACAGGGAATGATGATAACTTAAAATCTGTTAAATTACTCCACAAATCTTTCCCAAGAGATAGTGCTTAATGTGTTGCAACATTTTATGTACAACTGTATGTTTTAGCTTGGTGATATTATGCAGATAATGATATGAAATATAAGAATTGGAGATTTATATCTTTATATCTATGGAATATATTAATTGGAGATTTAATCTTTGAGATTAAAATAGCAAACTGTCAGACATGTTAAAGCTATTTTTGGAGCTTCTGCTTTGGGAAGTAAGTTCTATTTTTAGCAATGTGGTCTGTACTATCAGAGTGGTGAATTCAGACTAATCTTTAAGGCACTTTATGAAAAAAGATTTAGTTACCATTGCAGTTTGAAGAGATGCCTAGTTGTTTTTATTTAAATGTTTGTGGGACTGTTTATTTATTGAGTCTTTCATGCAATTTCTGTTAATGACCTGAATGTCTGTTGAGTGAGGAGTTTTGATTTGTTATTCTAAAATGTAATCCTGAAGTTGTGGTGAATGTGGAATTCCTGTTAGCACTGAGAGGGGCTGTTTGCATCTGCATGAGTAGCAGTATAAACACAGATGTTGATGTTGCTTGCAATAACAGTTATTCTATAATTCCTTAATTTTAAACAACTGTCCAGCCTTCTTTTCAATTCACACACTTCGCTTGCTAAGCTTTTTAGTCACTCTGGCATTTCGTTTTCTGGACAGGTAACATGTGTGATTAAGTGTTGTTGCAGCTTGTCTGAAGCCTGTCTGTATGCTGAAATAAATCCTGTCCCTGCTGGAAGTGTTCAGAAGTGTCTGCTTGGCACTGCTCGCTGCTGATCCCGTGCTAGGAGGCATTCAGAAAGTTTTCTGTTACAGGGAGCCTGTAAACTTCTGGGCTCAGACAATCGTTCCTATATGCCACACTTTGCAGCATAAGTGAATAAAAGGCCTTTGAGAGGAGCAGGAATTGCCCATGAGGAGGTTGACTATTTTTGGAAACGACAGGGCATGTGTTTTGTGAGCATGAATGGATCTTCCTGAGCATGTTTGTGTTACTGAGAGGTTGTTGGTTGCTATTTCTTTTTTACCCTTTCTGTGAGAGGAGGTTCTTTGTGTCTGTGTCAGAGATTTGAATTTACCCTTCCCGTATTTAATTTATGTCTATTTTAGCATGTAAACATGACAACCTTTTTTGAGCTCATGTGCAACATTTATGAGCTGGTGGGAGACAAGCTTCAAGTTAATATTAGACAACAGCACATGATATTTAATTTACATCCAACAAGCCGTGGATTTAGCCAGAGCTTCAGACTTCGTTTTCTTGTTAAGGGTGAAGGAAAACTGTATATATGACTTAAATGGATGGTGTGCTGAGGGTAACAGTGGCTGGTTTGTGTTGCAGTGCTGGGAGAGGGGCTGGCCAAGGGCGATGGATCTCTCCGGGCAGTGCTGTGCTGCATGCATCTCAAAGGGAAGCTGCAAATTGTGTCTAATGTTCTTTCCAAATCACTGATGGGGGAATCACTGGTAAGTGGGTTTGCTGCAATCTACATCGTTTAAAGAAAGAATTTTGTATTTCCTTCTTCTGAAAAATCTGTTTAATAACAAACTTCCGAACATATGTTTCACTGGCAGCTTGCAACAAAAATGGTTTGTGTGGAAAAGATAAATATATGGGCACACATATATCATCAGGATGCCAGGTTGTTGCATAACCAGGGTTTCAGAGTTGTTGTGATTTTAAAAAGTTTTTTCATTGCTGGCCCTGAATCCTCAGGGAATGTAAAATAAATTTGTGTATTTGTACGATTGACAAGAATAATATAAATCTCAAACTTTGCCTTGCTTTTTCTAAATTCTACCTGACACCATTTTGTATGGACTTCAGGAATTCTATCCATTAAAGCAGAAACAAATATTGATTGGACTTTTAAATAACTGGCCCATGATAACTTGTAAGACAGCATAAAAAACTTTTCAGGAAAAGGGAAAAAACTTTGCATTTCAAGATGAAGATTTGAGTTCAAAGCTTCTATTTTACGCTTGAACTGTTAAAACTTGTAAAGATGCTTTTAACCCCAGACATGTAAGTAACTTCAGACTTTTATGTGACTACTTATATGGGGAAATTAGGGGCATATGTAAGCCTCTAAAGAAGTGTCCTTTTGATTTCTGTAGTCTGGATTAAATAGGCAGTTCATCTGCATGCAAGCTGGAATTAATACACCCAGAAATGTGGTCATAGCTTGGCCAGACTGAGGGGGATGTGTGACATCAGAAACTTGCAGGAGAACCTCTTACCTTGAGATTGGATCTTGCTTAGCTGAATCAGTAGGTTGTTTTTGAGAGTTCTGTTTGTCTGTCTGGTCTGTATCCTGAATTCCCTCCCCCCCAGCCATTGGCTATTTTTACATGAAGAAAGAGTTTTTTTCTTTGTTTAGCTGTTTTCTCATGAAAAAACGTTTCATTGAAAAATTCCTAGTGAGGTTGAAGGAAACTTGCCTTCAGGAAAAATTAGTAAAATAGTCTTATTGCAGGGAATGTGGAGTGCCCTTGTTTTGAGCTGTTGTTGTGCAAATAAAGGCACCTTTGTATAGAATTCCAGTGTCATCCCAAAGCAGGGTTTGAGAGGTTTTTACAAGCTTTAGGTTGTTAGACATAGTTATTTTCAGTAGGAATATTAAAATCAGCAGCTGATTTACTGACTGTGCCATTGTCTGAAAGAAGAAGTGACACAAACTTTTGGAATGAATTTGTTGAAGAATTGGAATCCATCCAGTTTCCTCCCCAGTGGTTTAAGAGAATGATTCTTGGTAATGTTTTTTTACTCTATTACATTTAAGCTCAACAAGTTCAATTTTCAGCCTTCTTCTGAAAAAGTGAAAAATCATTCTGAAAAAAAGCCTGTGAGGATTGTTAAATGTGTAAGTTTTCAGCAAAGAGTGATTTCTCCTGCTCAGTAGCACAGCCCAAATGTGGAGAAGTCTAACAAATGTAGTAGCACTTAATTAAATTTGTGCAAGAGATTAGTGAAATAAACCCCACAGGTCTTGGTTCCTTTAATCAAAGTTTTGACTTAGAAGAGTGTGAAATTGTTACAAATACCTATGTATTTCACATAAATTCAGTTTTGAAAGATTTTTACTTCAGTTGTACTTGACTATGCAGTTAGTCACATGGCTAATCTTTGCTTTTGAGGGAAAACTCCAAAAATTACACAGTCTACATCAGAGCAGGAAGAGTTGTGGAGCTGCAGAAATGAGTGATCTCTAAAATGGATCCTTAAAAAGAAATGAATCCATCACTGCAACAGCAGTGAAAGATTGTTATATTAATTCTTCAGAGCTAAAGTGTTACAGTAACCTTGGTATACTTTTTCCCTCTAGTTCTTAATATGGTTCTTTCCTGAATTGTCCTGTATTGATACTTGCTATAAGTCTAGTGCTGGTTTGGCCAGTGTAGAATTCCCTTTTTCACCACAATGTTTACTCAGTTTTATTTAGTGTCATTTAAAGTTGGTGTTGTAAGTCAAATTCATTTTTATTTCTCCTGGTGTTGAGGGGGAAATGAACTTGGTTGCTGTGGTTTAATGCACATAATGAAGGTTTATGTGTTCAATAATTAATATTCTTTCTGCCCCCAGAACGGGATGGTAACTAAAGATCTCACACGACTGAAAACACTTCTTGCTGAAACAGAGGTAATGATGAGGGCATTACTGGGAAAATAATGAGCAGTACCTGAAGCAGCTGAAGGGCTGCTTTCCATGTGTCCCAGGAGAGCCAGGCTCACTGGGAACAGACTGGTTCCATTGGGAAAATAATGAGCAGTACCTGAAGTGAAACAGTGTCCATGTGTCCCAGGAGAGCCAGGCTCACTGGGAACAGACTGGTTCCAAAATTGTTGTTTCTGCTGTGTTGGTCTTTACCCACCAGCCTCTTCAGGAACGTTTCATCACAGTCTTGCAGGATGGATGAGAAAATGAAAAATGATGCTGATAGGTTGTTGATTCCTGAAGTAGCAAGTAGAAAGAATTCCAGGCATTTAGATCTGCAGTATTTATTTATTTATCTATCACATTTTTCTCTGTTGGAAATTAGTCTGAAGTAATAAACATGACTTCAGAAATTTTTAAAGATTATAAATACCTTCTCAACCCACTTTTTTCTCTTTCTTTTTTTTTTTTTTTACTGGAGGTCAAACTCATGTCTCTTGATTAAATTGTCTCCTCTCTTTTTTTCCTTATGCTTAGTTATTTATTTGAACTTTATTTTTGATGTAGATTGAAAGCTGAAAGACTTATCAATGTAGTTTAGTTTTTGGTGTTTTAGAAATTCACTGCAGTCCATGTTAAGTTGATTGCAGGGTGGAATTTGGTCATGTAAAAATCTCTAAAAGTTTTTTCTAACCAGTTGACTCAATGTTCCTGTCAGAATTCCTGTTATTATCAGAATCCCTGTTACCAGCAGGGTTTGTGACTGGGAGTAATTTCAACTTATGATTGATATTTTTGTAATAGTTGTTCTAAACCCGATTTTAACAGCAGTTCTTGTTGATGAAATTGTTTTGTGTTCCTTTATAACTGTGGGCTTTTTTATATAATTGTAGGCAGCTGGTAAAGTACCATCAGGATATCATGTAGAAGATTTAGAAGAAGGTATGTGACTCGATTTTAAAGCTACATCTTTTCCTTGTGAGAAGACTTGGATCCTGCTGAATGCTCAGCACTGCATTGCAGGCAAAAAACAAAAAAGGGACTTGACTGTTGTGATGAGCCCCAATGAGGCAGAATTATGTCAGTGTTGACTGAATTTGGAGGCAGAAGTTTCTGTTTATTGACCAGGGGGCTGTGTCAGAGCCTGCTGAGTTCTGCAGATGGTTTTACATCTGCCTTCACCACCTTTGCTCTAAATGAGCTTGTCAATTTGTAAATCAGTTTGGGGGGGGTAATTTTGCTTGTGTTCAGATACACCTTGGGCTGATGCTCAGAGATGTGGATCCCTGAGCAGCTGCTGTCTGACTGGAAAACTGAGAATTGAGGAATAACCACGGTTGTGTCCTGGCAGGGTCACGGGATGGTTGGCACTTCCGCCCCCCTCCCAGGGGCGTCACCAGCAGTGAGGAGTACACACTGTGTAAAAGGTAAGAGCAGTGAGAGGTACACACTGTGTAAAAGGTAAGAGCAGTGAGAGGTACACACTGTGTAAATGTAAGAGCAGTGAGAGGTACACACTGTGTAAAAGGTAAGAGCAGTGAGAGGTACACACTGTGTAAATGTAAGAGCAGTGAGAGATACACACTCAGTAAAAGGTAAGAGCAGTGAGGAGTATAAAGTCTGTAAAAGGTAAGAGCAGAGAGGAATACACCCTGTGTAAAAGGTAAGAGCAGTGAGAGATACACACTCTGTAAAAGACAAGAGCAGTGAGGAATACACACTTTGTAAAAGGTAAGAGCAGTGAGGAATACACACTTTGTAAAAGGTAAGCTCTTTGCTTCATGTTAACCCCCTCCAAGGGAGCAGAATGGTTCCTCTTTCATTCACCTGATGACAGAATGATTAAGAGGCCAAGAAAGTGGAGGTGCTTGTTAGAACAGGAGTTGACCTGTTCACAGGTTTTTGGAAGGCTCAGTTTATCCAGCAGCACTTCAGTTTATAGAATGGAATCACCAACTCAGTTTTCATGATGCAGTGGTTTGAAGGGCATTTTTCTAGTGGCAGGTCAGCATCTGTCTTTCTCCCCTACCTTTTCTGATTTGGGTGGTTTCAGAGGTGTGAAAAGTTCCCCAGGCAGCAGTGTAAGCAGACTGAAGCACAGTCAGGTTTCAGTGCTGCCTTCTGATAAATGAGCTTTGTTGGTAGATGGGCTTTATCTTCAGACAAAAAACCCAGAATTTCCCTCAGATCTCATTATTTTCCCTTTTGCATAAAGTCAAATACACAGAGAAGTTCCAATGGCTTGTACTGGTGTTTCTCCTTGTCTTTTCCAATCATCTGGTCAATATTGCCTGTACTTTGTGTTGTTAATTGTCATTGCTCTCCATAAAACTGTATTAATTTATAGGGGGAGGAACCATCATTATGCACTTGATTCTGCCATTTATGTAACTAATGCAAATTATTTTCAAAAGCTCTGACCTGCTTTTTAAATGGCATGACTGAACTGCTGATTTTGAGCTACTTTTGGCATGATTTTCTAGAGATGCTGAATCTTGGCAACTCTTCTTGACTCTTAAACATGTCTGGTGCTTATTCAGCAACTTAAAAAAAGCAGATATTTACAATTTTCAGCTTGTGGTGATCTTTTGTTGAGTAACATCTATCCCATGTTTCCAACCATTGCTCTGAAACATTTTTCCACTGAAGCTGTAATGAGCTTTAGGCTCACTGTTAACCCTTCCAGTAAGAAGGATTGTGCCTTGCTCAGCAAATCCCTGTGAACAGCATCATTCTGACCAGGGACTGAAAATTTTAGTTCCTTAGGAGGAGGCAGTTGCAGGTACTGAATATGAATTTTTGAAGGTCTGGTTTATTTTTCCCCTGTGCCATAAAGCAGTAGGAGTGCAGAATATTTATTCTAGATAATGAAGCTATGGAATTGCAGGAGGTATTAAATAAGAAAGTAAAATTGAGGGGAAAAAAAAAAGTTAAAAATATGAACAATGGGATCTTGGAAAACCTGTATAATGACGACAAATTTTAAAGTAATATGCTTTCCTGTTAAATAATGAAAAGGAAGCTCACTTGATTTTAAATTTGCTATGTAGGTTATAAGAACAAGTCAGCGATTTTTTATGCTTGCACTCCATTTACTTAGGAAGTGAAATTCATGATTGTACTTTAGTATTCTAATGCAGTGGTGAATTGGAAAATTGACAGAAAGAATACTGAAATTGACTGCCAAGATAAAACATTTTAATTTAAAATACATTAAGAAACATAGCTTGAGAAGGCCTTTAGTGACATGGTGTTATAGATCATGTTTATTTTGTTTGCAATTTGGGCATGCAAACTTTCAAGTACATTTCTTAATGAAAAAGTGTATGCTAAATCAAATTACAGCCACTGATGCAGGTGTGACCTAGATGTGCAGGTACTTGTGCTGCAAGGTTTTCATGTCACAGTCAGGGGTGGCTTGGTTTTGTCTCATAGCTCAAAGTTCACAGTTTAATTCACATTATATACACATGGACTATGGAAATAAAAAATGTGATGTTTGTATTAACTTTTTGTAGTCTTCTTGTGCAAAACAAAAACAAAGCAGTCTCCTGGCCAAATTTTATTCTGTATAACCAGTGCTTTCCTGGTAGCTTCAGAACTTAAATCTCTTCCCTATTTAATTTTCATTTTGTCATCTATTTTTTAAGTACTTCAGTTTTGAAGAATGATGGAGCTGCAGCTACTGCCTTGTGGTTTATAATTTTAATACAAAGTTAAATTATAAAAATAATCCCCAAGTTAAACAGGCATTTGCCCAGACTTGCAGTAAATTCTGAGAACTAGAATGCTTCAATTGTATACAGGCCTTTGGAGTAGCATTAATTCGATGCATCAGCACATGCCACTAAGTGGAAAATGTATTTCTTTAAGAAATTCTTAGTGTCTGCAAGAGTAGATCCTTTTAGACTAAAACACCCTTTCCACAGAGGGGGATTAAACCTTTTCCTGGAGGTTTCTGTGTAGGTGTATTTAGTAGAAGGGACCATGTGATGTCACTGTTGCTCCAGGAAAAACTGCTGATTGAGTATTTATCAGCTAATAATGTAATCACTGGAAGAAATTATGCTACATCTTTCCTTTGCCCTTGATTACCAGGGGGCTTTGTGCATATTAATACAGTGCCTAGTCATTTCAGGGATGCTCTGTGATCTCCTTCTGTTAATTGCTGTACAAACACTTGATTCTATTTTCTTTAAAGCTGGAAATTTCTTAAGACTTCCATCCCTCTGTATTTCTAAGAAATTTTTTATATTTTCCTGGGCTTTGCAATGAGAGAAGCTGCTGCCTCTTGTAGAAAATGCTGTATAAATAGATATATATTTCCAAAGCAGTTCACATGGACCAAACTGCCTTTAGTTCTGTGAGAGAAACTTAAAGAATATCCAAACCTCCTTCTGGCTTTACAAGTAAAATTGTGGTTTTATTTTTTTTAATTGGAGGCTGAATAATGTTTTTTCCTATTTTATGTAGATTTTTAGAGCAAGGGATCTGCAGGTATGGTGCCCAGTGTACTTCAGCACATTCCCAGGAAGAGCTGACGGAATGGCAGAAGCGTTACGCTTCCCGCTTGATCCGCTTGAAACAGCAGAAGGAGAACAAGCAGTGCTCAGGCACTTACATGGAAACCCTCATCGAGAAATGGATGAATTCCTTGTCTCCTGAGAAAGTGGTAAGGAAAATATCCTGCTCCTCTATGTGCTCACATTTAAAACTAACATGAGCCTGGTTTTGGCCCTGGCTGTCAGAGCTGGTCGAATCACTCCTCAACAGGAAATTGTCCAACCAATTTGCTCCCCTTTCCATCCTGCCCTGGGTCTTGCAAAGAGACTTAGGCTGATTTGTGGGTTAATCACAGCTCATTCTTTTTGCATATTCACTTTTTGCATATTCTCAGTGTAGGATGGGTCAGCAAGTTTCTTGGTATTGTTCGTGTTCCCTGACTAGACAGCATAACTTCTTAAACTGGAGAATAAATGGTAAAGGTTTCGCAGCTTAGTCAGGAATCCTCTTCCTCTTCCTCTTCCTCTTCCTCTTCCTCTTCCTCTTCCTCTTCCTCTTCCTCTTCCTCTTCCTCTTCCTCTTCCTCTTCCTCTTCGTGGGGAATACTCTTACTTGCATGTGGCTCCTTTCTTTGCCTGCAGCTGCAGGCCCTGGTATGAAGAAGAGCCAATCCCCCAAATATTCAGAAGTGTTTGAGTACTAGGAGTGTGGGATATGGATGTGATCAAAGTCAGCAGCTCTTTGGAATTAGAAAGAGCATTTTTTGTGGTATTTGACCAGCTCTACTTACCAGTGGCCCTAAAGAGTTTTTGGTCCATCTGTTGTTGATGAAATCTAAGAAAAGTGAATTTTAGCAAAATGCATTGATAAGTAGAAAGGCTGATTATTTTTTCCTGTTGTCTTAATAGGCTCATTGATGTCAGTGAGATCTGGGATCTTCTGGGCCTCACTGTATCTCAGATCCTTTTTTCCAAATGAAATTATGTTCTACTTTAAATATTTACAATTAAGTTGTTTGTTGCAAATCAAGTCTTGTGGTTAATTGTCCGTAAATGATTCTATTCTTCATTTGCACAGTGTGGTCTGGTAGATTTAGCTTGTCTCTCTACATTAGCTATATTTAAATTAATTCCTGTGTGAGACTTGCATCAATCCTGCACAATCTAGGAAACCATTCTTTCCTCTTTCTACTAAACAAAATGCTACCTTTTCCTGAGTGTTTGTGTTTTGATACTGCTGTAGAAGTTTAATGTTATCTTCCTTTTTTTTAAATCTAGCTTAGTGAATGTGTAGAAGGAGTGAGAGTAGAACATAATCCCGAGCTCTCAGTAACTGTCACCACCAAAAAGTCTCACCAGACATGGACATTTGCTCTCACATGTAAGGTAGGACTACTTATTTTTTGAAAGTTAGTAATAACTAGAATGCTACCCATAACCTTTTGCAATTAAGATTTCAGTTGCATCTTCCTTAAAATAGAGAAACCTCCTAGCACCATCCCTTCTCTCTCTTTTTTCCCAGCAGCTCTGGTGATTATGTATCAACTGCCCAGATTTCTGGAAATCAGGCAGGACCTGTACCTGATAGTTCCTATTAACCCTTTTTATCTGATTGCAAGTGAAGATATTCCTGGAATGGTTTCAGTATTTCAGCCTTTGCATTTCCTTTCCAGCCTGCAAGAATGCTGTATCGAGTGGCATTGCTTTATGATGCCCATCGACCACACTTTAGTATCGTTGCAATATCTGCTGGAGACAGCACTACCCAGGTATCACAAGAAGTTCCAGAAAACTGTCAGGAATGGATAGGAGGAAAGATGGTCCAGAATGGAATAGATCACTATATATACAAAGTCAGTATAGCCTTTAACACAGAAATCTTTGGGACTTTTCGCCAAACTGTGGTGTTTGACTTTGGATTAGAACCAGTCCTCATGCAACGAGTGATGATTGATGCTGCTTCAACTGAAGGTAATCTACTAAAACTTTTTTGGTTTTGTGTAGTGCAGGTCTTTCATGCCATCTCTTTCCTTTGCAGTTTTGGGCAGAGCCACATCTCTGTCAGCTGTTCATGAATGTTTCATACTGTATGTTATGTTCTTCATAGATATGAATGGAAGTAGTGGGCAAAAGCTCCAGAGGGTGCAAATCAGGGAGATAATTGAAATATGACTTACTTTGTGTCAGGATAGGGCTCCTAAGTATGACTAAAATGCTGGGAATTTCTAATTTGGTGTGTGTCTGAGTGCAGCACTGGAAGTTCTGACTTTATAAAAACATGTTTCTGTTTTTATAAACATTCTTCTATTGATGAAGACATTAAATATGTCAGGAAAGGTCATTAGAGAAATGAAGTGTTTCTGTATAAGAATACACAGGGTAATAAACCCAGTAATTAAAAGAGACAATCTGAGAAGTTGTGTTTTTTTTCTTCTCTTGTAATACCTGACTAGGTTTGTCAAAGACAAGAGGCTGACTATAGGCCTGTAACTCAATAATTTGCTGCTGACATGAATTTTGAAAATGTTAAGAAAGTGCAATTATATTTATGTTTTCAAGTAAAAAAATGAGCTACAATTTACTGTGTTTAATCTGTTTCGGAAACTGATCTGTGTCTCTCAGTTCAAACCTGAAATAACTCCAGTATGAGAAAAATGTCAGAAAATGGAAAGATGTTTGAAGAGGTGCAAAAAAAGAAGGAAGCACTTTGATTTATGGTGAAAGAGAGCTAAATATAGGTCACTATATCACTTGGAAGTAAGCCATTTGGTGGGATACAGGATTTTAATTTTTAATGAAAATTTGAGAGATAAAAACACCAATGAAACAGAATTGTAGCACTGGGATTTAAGCAGAAAGAAGAGGAAAAGGGAAAAGGAAGGAAAAAAGATGAAGCTGAGAAAACAGCAGTTTTCTATTCCTGGCCTTGATTTCCATATAACAGATTAACATTTGCAGCACTCACGGAACAAAGCTGTAAATAGAAATACCAAAGATCATGATCTTTTGAGATGCCTTGAGTGCCTGTAGCCAGGAGCAGGGGCATTGTTCATGCTCTGGGAGCAGAGGGTATGGCTCTGCAGGGAGTGGGAGCCATTCCATGATCTCCACGGAGCATGTGGGTGATCACAGATCTCCTGAGCCACTGTGGAGAGCAGTCCTTGCCTTGTAAACCTGGGCGAGATCAAGGGAACCAAGCCATGAGTTGCTTGCAGAGTCAGAGTTCCTGTCAAAGCAGTCTGTGGTCTGGGGCCTTAACCAAGTGCTAAGCCCAGGGATCCCAGGAACAGGCAGCTGAATTCACAGGAATGATGGGTGGGGTGGGGGCAGCAGCAACCAGCATCAGGTGCTGCTGTTTCCTTCACACTGTGCACAGGGACACTGAAGTCTTCTAATAGTAATACTTATTTTAAATGGAAAGAGTTAAGAGCTTTACAGATAATTCTAACTACAGAATCCTGGGCTTTTTGCTGTGTGTGTAATAGGCAAGGGAAAGGGATAACTATGTTGGATCTGTGCCAAATTCCATCATTTCTTTTACTTTTTGGTATATATGAATTGAGATCTTGTGGAAATACTTTGTCTCCTCCATCCATTTCAGAAAGATGCCTGAAGTCTCTGTGCTTGCATGTAATTCAGGCCCTGTTGAGATGTTTAGGCAGGAATGAAAGGTCAACATTAAAATATTTTAATAGAGGAGCTTATATTCTGCATTGTGAAATCTTTATTTACAGCAGAAGAAGGGAGCTGTAGGAAGTTTTCTGTGCACTGATTATGTACTAACTGCTCTTTAAGATAAAGTGTCACTGTGTGTGCAATCTGTGCCAGGAACTGTTTATGTCAGGCTTCCAGGGAAAGCCTCTCCAGTGCTGGGAATTAAATGGCTGTTGTTCCAGCAAGCAAGGAGTCAGTCCCAGCATAATTACTGAGCTTTTGGGATCTGAGGTGTGATTTGTAGCAGGGAAAGCTTCATTTGTGGTGACGTTATTTCAGACACACAAACCACACAAACTTGGACTTTTTCTTGCTGTACAACTGTAGCTGCTGATATGGTTCAGGCTTGAGGGATATATTTAAATGTGTCTTCTTAGTGAGCACATGAGATCAGTGGTAAGATAAGCCATGTTCCTGTAGTCATAGTCAAGCTGAACAGAGATTTCTTTTGCTAAAATGCTGGGTTTTTTTCTTATTTAGACTAAAGACAGTTAAGATAATGTTAAGCATTTAATTTGAATTTGAAAATGTCTTTTTTGCACATTTTCAGCGTTGGTGTGATATCCTGGATACCTATGTTAAATCTTACTCAGAGATTATACATTAAGATAGCATAGCTTGACTATAAATGCCAAATATTTTCAGCTCTGCAATTTAACTGCAATTCTGTTAACTGATTCACTGTTGTCATAGTGGTTTTGTGGTTTTAATGGATACATTCTAGGGGGCTGTAGACAAGTGCTTGCTCTTCTGTTTCTTATGTAGTCCCTATCTGGAACCACATCTAAGCTATGTGGTGCCTAAATCAGGGTATGTTAAAAAATTAATGTCCTTTGAATTCTCTAATTTTGTATCATGTTAGGTTACATTTCCCAAGTTTTGCTTGGTGAAGTAGCTTTAGCTACTTTATGTAACTGTCTGCACCACACACAGGTTAGGGGGCTCTAGAACTTTTTAAAAGGCTTTCAGTGTTGCAAATGCAATGATTACTTACCAGCTGATTTACCAACTTGTTTTTATGACATTCTATAATATACATTGTAGGGTTCCTTGCTATTTAATGATTTTGAAATGAGGGGATGTTGCAATTGGGTTTTAAAGTGTATTGCAGTGCCAAGCCCTTCAAAGCTGTTCAAGTAAAAGTGATTTTTTGTCTTTATTAATTCTAATTGCTATCTGTAGAATGTTTTATTTTCTGATACTCTTGGAGAGCCTGCTTGTTCTCTGTGCACACCTGAAAAGTAGAGATAGTAAATACCAGCAGTGAACTTCCTAAAGGTGTTGTGGCCAGAGGAGACTCTCCCTGTGTTTAGGTATCTCTGGGGGGATTGGTTTTACTAGTGGGTTTGGTTTGATTGGCTTTTTTTTGGAAATACAACCAAGCCAGCTGGGGTTTGTAAAAACAAAGCCCCCCTTCCCTCTGTGTCCCTGCAGACCTTGAATACCTGATGCATGCACGGCAGCAGCTCCTGACCACAGCCAAGCGCTGGGATTCCACGTCCAAGACTATTGTGGAGTTTGAGCCTAATGAAACTACTGAACTGGAGAAGAGCCTTCTCACCAGATACCAAATCCCTCTGTCTGCTGACCAGCTGTTCACACAATCTGTCCTGGACAAATCATTGACCAAGACCAACTATCAGTCACGGCTCCATGACCTCCTGTACATTGAGGAAATAGCACAGTATAAGGAAGTTAGCAAGTAAGTGATTCCTTTATAAAAATATTCCTATTAAAATGAGGGAGGCAGCTTTTTTCATTAAAGCTGCCTGCTTCTTTAAGATACTGAGGCTTCCTGTTTCTTTGAACTGAACCTGAATGAGTCTGGGAATAGTAATATTTGGTAAAGGTCACTAGCACTTAAATGTAAATTCCTGCTAATTCATTGAAAACAAACAGTGTGTATCAGTCTGTGCTTACAGTTGCAGGCACTAAGCAGCTGTTGGAGAGGGTTTTGTTAATTTTGTTTCCAGTTTATTGTCTGTCTATACAAAAATATATTAATAATAGTTATATTTGTGTTCCTGTGTGAAAGTAGGTTATAGCAAAGGTATATATAAAGTTTTTGTAAAAAGGGTTGAACTGTGGGTGGCTCAGACTGATCTTGTGATAAAGTGGCAGCTGACTTCATTTATTTCTTAAATAGGTTGACACCCAGTTTCCTAATAAAAGGCATATAATATACATTGTTTGGTTTGTTGTGTCTTTAGGTGTTATGAAGAAATTACCCAACTCGTGTAGATGCTTGAGAAATATAGGTTTAGGTAAAAGATGTGAAATTCACACTTGCACACCTTCATGTGGATTTTTTTTCCTGTAGCTTAATATTTGTGGTCAAAAATCTTTCCTGCATTCATGTGAGCTGCATTCTCTAATGAGCTTTAGAGTTTTGTTACTACTCAGAATGGAAAGTCTCAAAGATACAACATCATTGTACCTAATTTAGTAGCAAGTTTAGTTTTATCAATGACCTGAAGTTCCAAATCAGGAAGTCTTTTTAAGATGAAGAACCATTCCTGGAGCTACAGAGGTTCAGTTGAACCAACCCTCTAGAACTTAGAAAGAAAATACTGTGAATAGTTGTATTTCTATTGCTTTTAAAGCAGAAAAATGGTTCAATTTATTTTTAAAATCTCAGGTGAAGGGCAGTATTTGAGCTGTTTCTTATCTTATATCACTGCTGCACTCTGCTCTTGAGCTGGAGTCTAGCACATGCAGGAATCATGCTTGAACACTGCTTGCAGCTTACAGAAATATTATCCATCATACATATTTAAAAACAGGTTGGCTCTTCTAAGGCCTTTTGAAATAAAAGTGGATTTAAAGTAAATATTATGAAATACCATTAGCACATGAGCAATATTTTTACTGATAGAATTTGCACCTTGGGAGTTACATTCTCATGCCTCATAGGAAACCAAAGAGCAGCAAACCTGGAGAAATGAAAGAAAAATAAGTGTATCCTGTATGTAATGCTTCTCCTTTGGACTATTTGGTGCAGCAGTAATTTATTGCTTGATTAAGTTAAAAGTGAGTGTTAGTAATGTTCTTGAAATCTTCTGTTTTGATAGTCTTGATGACAAACATTCTTTTGATCTTGTAGCTGACCCACTTTATTGCAAGAAGGCTCAAACCAGCAGACATTTCCACTCCTCTGTGGCTAAGATCACACACTTGCTATTCTCTAGTGAAGTGTCAGGGTTGCAAGCCTGGAAGTGGCTGAGAAATCCAGATGCAAGTGGGTTGTAGCACCTCTGAAGTGGTGCCACAGTGGCAGCGTTGATGAGCTGCTGCCTTTTCAAGGGTTTGTGAATGTACATTGTAAAAGGAGTAGGATTGGCAGCTGGTCCTCTGACTGCACTGCAGTAACACCAGTGTCAGAGTGAAGTGGATCCTTGGGTTTGAAGGAGGTTGATGGTTTCTCACTTTCTAGGAAGGTGCTGGTTCAGACTTTGTGTGGAATCGCCTGAGTGGAACTGGACAGTATTGGGTGAAAGTTGCTCAAAGTGGCTCAAACATATCTTGAATTCAGTTATAAGGGAGTTCTGGACAGTCTCAGAGAACTTTACTTTTAAATAGTGTTTATTTCAAGAGACATTTATACAAGTTATTCCACATAACTATTGCAAAATAGAATAATAAGGGAGTCACTGCTGTTGAATTTCCAAGTGCACACTGTTTTTGAGGAAAACCAAAGCAATGTTCCAATCTTGATAGTAGTTGGGTTTTGGAGAGTCTAAATATCTGTTCATGGTTTTGAAACTCTTCCTTTCTCTCTTGCATATTGAAGAGAAAAGCAATATATACTTCTTAAGAGTGACTAGAACATTTTCTTCTATGAACATTAAAGGGTGTGAGGTGACAGACAGCTCCTTCCTTGCTCCCAGAATTACAGAGCAGATTTATCCTCAAGGCTGTGAACTCATCAAGTACTGGCTCTGATGGAAAACAAATTTATTTTGTCATTACTGTGTGTTGCATGGATCCCTCCCCAGGAAGGTGTCCCCTGCACACCCCGAACCCTGCAGGTGTCAGTGTCAGAGCAAATGTGCTGAATGTGCTTTTGCAAAGTGGCACCTGGGGCTTTGGCCAGGATGGGTTTGTTTGCCTTTGGGGAATTTATTGTTTGCATTGGTACTGGATGATTAATGATTTATGAAGTCATTCTTCATAATTATTCTGTGGTTTTAAATACGAACAACAGGTTTTCTTGTAGCTGCTTCATGAACACTGCAGGTAGGCTGACATTTGCAATGCTTAGGAGGAAATAAAAGTTTCTGATTTTTTTTATAAACCTGACTGAAAACCTTATTTTGTCTAACCCTGCAAAGAAAAGGTGAGAAATGGATGAAAGAAGCAACTTCTGCTTTTTACAAATCAAATCCTGAGAGAATTTTGTAGTTTTGTAGTTTGCCAGAAGGTGTCAGCTTGCTCAATGGAAATTGCTTGATAATCTAAACTTGAGATTCCCTGTAGCACAGCAGATGCAGTTCAGTCATTTATGAAAACACTAACCTGTGCCTTGTCTCAGAAATGCAATAAAACTGTTTTGCAGCACGTTTTTATGAATCTGAATTTAGCTGATACATATTCAGCAGCACAGGGATCAACTTTAGGGAAGTTTCAACAAAATAAATTCACAATAGCAAATGATTGCATCTCAGTAGGAATTCCCAGCCCTTGTTACTCAGTTAAATGTTTTACATAGTGTTTTAACAAGGAGCTGTGAGCTCTGTTTCAGATGTGGTTAACTTGTTGGAATAGTGCAGCACTTCAATAGAAGAAAACTTTTTGTTAGGGGGTTTTTATTGGTACGTGTGGAAATGGGAAGGATTGGGTGGAAGCTTTCCCTGTAGCTTGTTCAGTAACCTTTGTGGTCAGTGATAACCAGACAGATCCCTGTTAGGTAAGAAAATTTCCCTTGCTTTTGGAGAGTGGAGGACTGGGAAATTCAGATCTGACAATGCCATATTCTGTAAAGAAGGAGCTGTTACCACATGGGGGCAAACTTGCAGTTTTTGTGCAAGATTCGTGGATTGGCAGATCTGGAAAAATACATCTGATTGGTTTGGTAGATGTTTAATTACCAAGCTAAAATGTTGGATTTTATTGTTAGAGGCTTAGGATTATTGATACTGCAGGGCTTAAATGAGCAATTACCAGTTTATTAGGTTAAAATAGAAAGTATAAGAAGAACAAATCAAATAAAACCAGTATAAGTATGAAAAGTATAAGAAAAGAATGTATTTTTCCAAGAGGTTTTATTTCATTTGTGAATGGGTTTTACTTTTTTTTTTTCTGTAATGTGTTTCAAATTTAGGCAAAAGTTGCTGATGAGAAAAAAACCTGAATATTGTTACTCTACTGTCAGACTTTTTTTCCTCTTTGTTCTTTTTAAAACCAGGTTGAAGCAATCTGTTTTAAAAACCCCAACACACTAGGAAGAGATTACTTTTTATTGGTGAGAGGTCAATAAAGTGTGCTAATAAGTCACTTTAATGTGTTGTGCATGTGACTTCTGGAAAATGATAACTGCAAAGAATAAATTTGTTACATCTCTGATTACAGGAGGAAACTGCTGCTGATAGGAGTTCTGTGGATAGATGGTTTATAGGGCTGAGCCTGTGATGCCATTCCCTCATTTCAAATAAAATAAAATATCATTTTAATGCCTATAATCTGATTTGTTTGAATGCATTTTGATCAATCCCTCTGAATTATAGGTATAATACCATTTACTTTTTAAGATGGAGATTGCTGTCTTTGGTGTGCAGCCTGGAAGAGGCTCATGGGATAAATTGGAATATTGCTCTGTTCTTTGCCTGCTTGTCTCCCCTTGCATACCTACCATAAGATTAAGACTGTTTGAATAGAAATTTTACTGCTTTAGGACATGTAATTAATTCACTCTAAGTTTTTATTGATATCTAGTATTTGTTTCTCTTTTGTTAGGGTCCTTCTTAAAACTTCATAGATGTTGATTCTTTTAAATATGTACTTTATAGGCTACAGTCAGAGAAAAAGTGTGGATATTTGATAGCTGCATACTTACAAAGGGCCACTTTGACTGTATTTGTCCATGCTTAAAAATTAATTAATGAAATGAATCTTCACCCTGAACGCCTGAAATTTCAGAATCTGAGAGCATTTTTGTGCACTGACTCGATGCTTTCTCACTTAGGTTCAACATAAAAGTGCAATTGCAGATTGTAGCAAGCTTCATGCTCACTGGTGTTTCTGGAGGTGCAAAATATGCCCAAAATGGACAACTTTTTGGCCGCTTTAAGCTCACTGAGACCCTCTCTGAAGACACTTTGGCTGGAAGGCTGGTGATGACCAAAGTCAATGCTGTTTATTTATTGCCTGTCACTAAAGAAAAGTCAGCACAGACCCAAGGAACCAAAGAGAAGGTTTATGAAGCAGCTATCGAGGAGAAGACAAAGGATTATATCTTCTTGAGGGTATCCAGGGAGTGCTGTGAGGAGCTGAACCTTCGGGCAGATTGTGAAATGCAGGTAGGTCTGCCTGGAGGTGGCCGTGGTGTCAGAACTCTTTGCCTTCTGTTTGCTCTGCCTCCATGACTGATCTGCTTACCAAACAAAATAACCTCAAATTAAGGTCACTGGAATTGCCTGGAATGAATGCATTTTCACCCAAGGTTTATCTCATCCCATTTGTTTTGTTTTGGGGAAACATATGCAAGAATCTTAATGTCTTAATTTAACATGGATAATTGGTCTGGGAAGATTTATGTCGTTCTGAGCTCTTGGTTTTGTGTTTGTTTTCTTAAAACAATAATTAAACTTACTAATTGATTGTATTTGAAACTTGACTGGAATGCAAAATGAGCTGGGGCTTCAGGAACTGGCTCATTTTTCCTTGAGTATCTTAATAATCTTGGCCTGAGGCAGCAGATCTATTCTGCATTAGAAATTGGGTCCTAAAGTTGTTTGTAAAATCATTTAGTACTTTATATGAGTATCACTGAACTGGTGGTCAGATTCTTCAAGCATTGCCTATATTTGAACGAATTTTAATTATGAGGAATTTTTTATGTCTATTATTAGCTGAAATTTTGGAAAGCAATCCTCAGTTTAGAGCTGAGAAGTTGTAATTTGGATGTGCAGAGTTTTTGTTAAAGGTGCTGGAGGTTTTGCTGCTCTCTTCAGTAGAGTTGATATTCCCTATGTGATTCTTAAACACTGATAAAACTGCTTTGATTTCTGTGGATTTTGGATAAGTTGGGTAGTTTCTTTCCTTTTTCTTTTCCTTATGATTAGTCTCAGAAACTTGGTGGTGCCTTGTTTACCTGCTGTTCTGGCTTAGCTATAATAAATACACAATTCTGCTTTTATCAGGTAAACCATTCATAAAGGTGGGGTGGAGTGCACTTTAAAGCACTGTGGCTGCTGCCACTCTTTTATTTTTGGAGTGGCTCCTCTGTTCTCTGTCCTGCTCTGTGAACCTGCAATGGATTAACTTCCTTTCCCACTGTTTTCTGATTGTGGAATGTATATTAAAGGAGGTTATATGCCTCTCCTTCCCAGACAGCCTCATTCACTACTCTGCAGCAGCAAATAGAACTATTTGATTCCATCCAAGCAGCATTAAAAGCAAAACAAATCACAAGCTGTTAAGAAAGTGGTGAATGCAGGTAGATAATAGGAGGTATTTAATGCCAGGCACCTTGCTTGGACTCCCAGAAGGGGCTGTTAAAGTGTCACCCAGATGAGCATCACAGCTTTTCTGCATTTAAATCACCCTCGTTAGGTTGTGTGTTTTTTTGTCAGCCTTGGGTCTGCCTGAGCAAAGATATTTTCCTCGGCTAGATCAAAGCAGGAGTTTGGGACCAGTGCCATTTGCCAAACGTGCAGGTTGTGCTTGGGGGACAGAGCAGTGCTGGGAGGGATGGGTAGGGCAGAGGTGCCCATGGGGCAGGAGGAGCTGTGCTGTCACTGCTGAGAAGTGCCAGCCCTGCTGTGCACAATGGGGCTGGGGGGCACAAATTGCACAGATGGAAAAAGAATTCTTGAATTTTCATGTGTCCTGTTAAAAAAAAAAAAAGTTTTCTTAGCAGTTCCAAACACCTCTGTGAGCTCCGTGCTTAACGCTGTCAGATTTGTTGCTGCCCTTGTCTTCAGACTTATGGTTGTACATCTTGCTGTAAAATGTGGTAGTCAAGATGAATATTTAATGTCTCTATATCTGCCAGAGATGGAAAGTTAATGGCTATACTCTGCAGGGATACAAGCAAACATTGTTTATTTACAGCAAAGCTAGTGTTGATTTTACGTGCTACATAATGACATGAACATTGTAATACTGAAATAAGAGTAGGAAAAAGAAAATGCTAATTTACAAAGCCTTTTGAAGGAGATGATCTGCCAGTAGTGAACATTACTGTACACCAGAGTGATCCCTGTGGTGGGAAAGGGGCTTCGTGGGCAGATAAAGGAGTGTCAGGTACAACAAGGAGTTAAATGTAGAAGGATAAATTATTCCTCTGTATGGGGAATTCTCCTCCGTAGGAGAAGGTTCCTGAGAGGAGGCTTTTATATGGCTTTGAAAGAGAAGTGATCACTTTTCCTTTCCTTCCTTCTGTCCTTCCTTTTTACTTGTCAAGGACTTCTTAAGGTTTTATATAAGTTGTCAAAAAAGATAATTGTAAAATTGTATTCTAGTATTGCTTTGTGTTTGTTGAACTTTCTGCTTGGTAGCACTAATTACCACGAGATTAAAGTGTGATTAAGTAAGAATGGGCTAACATCAGATCAGTGAGTGCTAGAGGAGAAAATCATTAGCTGTGAGGGCAGGTTGTTGCTTTGGGCATGGGGGTACCTTTGGAATGACTGCCACCTCCATGGCTTTTCCCTGGGTGACACAGGGGCTGCACCTGCTGATGGAGCAGGTTCAGCTCATCTTTGCTCTGGGTCTGTTCTTCTCATCTCCTGTTTGCCAGGACAGAACCAGCTTCTGGCAGGTGGTTCTGGAATCTCGTGGTGCAGATGGCCTTAGAAATTGTTAAATAATTGATATTTCCAGGTAATTGGGGGGTGCTTTTCCAGACGGGTTGCAGTGGTGTGGCTGCTGTTCACACTCATTGTACATCTCAGAAAGAGACTTACTTACTCCTGTTTAATCAAAAATGTTTAATAGCTTTGTAGCACAGTAATTACATAAATACATAGTGACAGCAGTGCTTTGGAAATAAACCTAAAAATGTGCATTAGTCTCTTGAAGTTCTTCAGCAGCTTTTGGTGTTTTTATGTTGGTTTTTATTAGTGCAGATCTGTGTCAAATTTTGTCTAAAGGCTTCTGGTCTGTTGTGAATGTGGAGTTCTTTGGCATAATACTCTGATCAGATTAATTTGTTTCTGGGGAGATTAATTATTACAAATTTAAATCTGTGTAAGTGATAATCTGAGTGAACTGTTTTTATGAATAATTTCCCGGGGAGCTCTTTTATCCCTTGTTCAAATTTAGAATGTACTTTTCTCTTTACCCTTTCAGTGTGTGTGTATGTGTCAACTACTTTCACTCTCCATTGTTCCGTTCTGAATTGAATCAGGAATGTTAAGTGCTCTGCGTGATGTTTCTGGCTTTGTACCAGAATTTATGTTGGCAATATCTTTTATTTACTAGCATTGAAACACCTGTAATTGAGAGAACAAAACCATGAATGTATTGGTAAGCAGCTAATTGTTAGAAATTAACTTTTGGGGAGTCCTAATAATTGAACAAAAATGACAAGTTATGCTGTTCCAGAGTGTTTGACCAGAAATAATGTTTGGAGTTTATCTTTGCTGATTTATGTAATTTGTTGATATGGTAAAACTTCTGGCCTGGCATTTTCTTGAGGTTGTTCTTACAATAAGAGATGAAAGCTTACATTTGTAAAAACAATGTTTTAGGACAATAATATTTTCCAGGACTATTTTTTGTATTTAAAAAAAAATTCCAAGAATGCTTTCCCTTTAATTTTTTTTCTGAAAGTACAGTGGAATTTAATCTTAAAAGTCAAACAACAAAATTAAATTAAAGAAAAAGCTGTATTTATCTTTGATTCTAAACAACAACAACAAAAAGGCAAGTTAATTTTATCACAGATCTTTGGATTGAATGCTGTTTGCTATTTTCTTCTGAGAGCCAGTGGTGTGCAGGAAGATAAAAATGTATCATGTACAGCAAAGTCTAATGAGCATTTTCTAAATGAATCCTTTTTGTTCACCTCTGTTTATTCATTGGTTTGTTGTGCAGGTTGAGCTTCAGTTCCAGTTGAACCGGTTACCCCTCTGTGAAATGCATTATGCCTTGGACAGGATTAAGGACAACAGCATTTTGTTTCCAGATGTCAGCATGACTCCCACCATACCCTGGAGTCCCAACAGGTACACAAACACTTTAAAATCAAAGCTTGGGTGGGAATGCAGCTCTGAATTTCTCAGAGCAGATGGCTGAAATCTGTTCTCAAACAGGAAACAAGCCTGATTAGTGGTGAGGGCTTCTGAGAAGGGGGGGAAACTGCTGAATAAAACAAGAGGAATGATCCTCCCAGGGCCAGAACCCACTGAATGGTTTTCCCTGGGGCTGAGCTGAGGGTTTGGAGGCATCACAGTTTACTGTGGCTGCAGAGAACAAACCTGCTGCTAATTTCTGTGCTGCCATCCTCCTCTGAAAACGTTAGACTTCATAGGAGTGGCAGTGCCACTTCCAGCAGTGCTCTGCAGGGTCCCAAGATGCAGAGTTCTGGTTCCAAGGACTGATCCATTAGTTCTTGTTGAGCTGCAGTGAGATCTGGACATATCCCAGAGGGTGTGGTTATGGAAGGTGTGGCAATGACTCCTAAAGAAGCAGCCCAGAGATTCTTTCTATACACATCTCACAGTTTCCTTTATGAAATGATAAACCTCTGTGTTATATAAATATTCTAAAGAAATGTAAGGCTGATACAGTAAAAATAGTTTGGAAGAGGAAGCTTAGGGAGGAGAAATGTGAGGCTGTGTGGCTCAGGGGATAGATATGGTCAGTGTTCTTGCTCTTGGTAAAAGAGGCATGAGCTTTCTGTGCTTGGAGAGGAATGGGAGCTGATAGTCTGCACAGCCTGGGAGGAGTTGTGTGAGGTCTTGAAGGTGAGAATTAGGAGTGTGATTTTGATGCAGGAGAAATCAGGAGATAGCCCAGATTGAAAGGAAGGCAGTCTGTCAGAAGGCTGAGACAGTGAGTATTGTATGACAAAAAACAATGGGAAAATGATTGTTTGTGTCTGGAACTGTAAGAACAGATCCAGCACAAGGGTGGGATCAGTGTTCTGGGTGGGATTATCACTGTGTGCATCAGAGATTTGACAGCACCGAGAGGAAGAAGGGAAGAGGTTCTGTTTGGAGTTACACTACAAAGCTAATGGAGGTCACTGCCAATCTGTTCACTGACTTAATTAGGTTCTGAGTGAATCTTACAAGGACAATGAAATTGTGTTTAAAAATAGTGTTTAAGAATAAACACTTACTTGGAAGTAAGCAGTGATTTCAATAAAAAGGAGGCAAGTCAAGTAGGATAGAAGTTTTATATGCTATTTACATACCAGTTGCACGTTGGTATAGTGTTTTGTATTTTTTGTATACATAAAAAATATATGCAATGATTATAGTTCAGTTTAAATCAGTTCCATCTGATGGCTTGATTTGTCTTTCCTTAGGAATCAAGCTAACTCCAAACTGTCTTTCCTGTTTTTCTTCTATGTCTGTTTTATGTCCCTGTTCCTTTCCTGTATTTCTTAGTCTTTTGCCAGCCTGCTGTTCATAGGCATCTCAAAAGTCAAAATTCAGTCAATTCCCTCTTGATCTTGCTCCCTGTTGCTAACTACTTCTGAACAGAAACTTTCCCAGTCTGTAAGAAGTGTGGTGCTTGTACCAAAGCAGATCACATTACTAAAGTATGGCCATATGTGCAGCAGTGACAGGTGTTTTTTACTATGCATGCCTACTTTTAAATCTGTCAGTGGGAATATTAAAAACTCTGTCTAGAAATCTTTAACTTCTTATGCTCATTGGAATTTTCTGAAAGCATCTTCCTCCCAGTGCTGGCATCACTGGCTGCTTACAACAAAAATCCTTTTTATAGAGTTAATTCCCATTAGAGGTATGTGCCCTGATGATCTTAAAAAAAAAAAAAAAAGTCAAGAGAAGTTTGTAGTTAACTGGTAGTCAATAGTTTTTAAATTTGATTTTAGATAGCTTTTACCAAGCCTTGAGGTTGTGTAACTGGTTACTTTTAAAGTTAACAGCGTAAATGCTACAGGGAAAAAACATAACTAATGGAACTATTATTTGCATAATAGAAAAATCTTTGTATGTTTACCTGCTTTTGTTATCAGGGAAAGGTGCAGTATGTCCTTCTAGAATGTGTGCTGTGCAGGTTGACTGTTGTTAGTTGGGATGATGTAAATTGAGAATAGGTTGAAACCTCCCCCCCCACAACTGGATTATTGCAAATAGCAAATTTTTATGATTAAAGTGTGTGATTGTTTTGCTAGATTTGTTGATTTGTTTCACGTGCCTCAGCGACACAATCCACACAGCAGCTCTGTGGAGGCTCTTCAGTTTCTTGAACTCTTTTGAAATCATCCCTGATTGAATGTCTGCCTGGCAGTGGATGGTGAGAGCTGTTTGTAACCTTTGCACAGGCAGTGGGACGAGCAGCTGGACCCGCGGCTGAACGCGAAGCAGAAGGAGGCTGTTCTGGCCATCACCACCCCGCTCTCCATCCAGCTGCCCCCCGTTCTTATCATCGGTCCCTATGGGACAGGAAAAACCTTCACTCTGGCTCAGGCAGTCAAGCACATCCTCCAGCAGCAGGACACCAGGTGAGGGGGGCACTGAGCACAGAGCAGGGCCCCACCAGCACAGAGGATGGGATTTTTTGGCTAGAATTCAAGTCAGAGGTAGAAATACAGAATTTCCACCCAGCTTAGAAAGCAACAAACCCAAGGCATTCTTCATCAATTGGGTTGATAAAGTAATTTTACAATCTTAGCCTGTATTTGCCATTTAGAACAAAACTAATTAATGTGGAAGTTTTGTAGAATGGCTGTGATTTGCTCGGCGTGGGAAGTCTTGCAGCATGGTAGATAACAAAAGCTGGGCTTTAAAATCAAATCCAGATTAATAAATACGAAATGATTGTTGAAAACCTGTTTGATAACTGATGGGTTTGAGCTGAGGGCTGAATCATGGGAAGTGCAGTAGGCCAGTGAGTAGTTCCATGAAGAGGAATGTGCAGGAGGATGGCCACTGTTTCCTTTCTTTTATATTTACTGCTTTGAATTGTTTTCTGTTTCTTCATTGCTTTTTTATTTGCATCCATTTATTCCAGCAGGATTCTCATTTGCACCCATTCTAATAGTGCTGCTGACCTCTACATAAAGGATTATTTACATCCATATGTAGAAGCAGGCAATCCCCAGGCAAGACCTCTCAGGTATTTTTTTAAGGCTTATTATGTATCTATAAAATACTGTTCTTAAGAAAAGGTGTCTATAAAAAAAGGTTAAAGAATTTTTAAAGTATAAAAGCTTATTGGCATTACCAGCAGTGCTTTTAAAAACAGCCTAAAAGGAATGTGAAATATTGTAACATAATTTTCAGTAATTTGTTAAATAAAAATAAAGACATCCTTTTTTAAGCTTTTATTATTCTGTTGATAAATGTGTCTTTCCTAATGAGCAAGCTTTTGATACACTCCTCTAAAAGCTACTATGATAAAAGAAGATGGACTTTAGTTGTATTTTAATTTCTGAAAAGTTTAACTCACAATTACAAGGCTAATTTGGAAACTGGGGCTCCCCACCTGGCTTCTTGGAGAAACATTTTGGGTTTTGGAAACATAGGAGCTACTTAGAGAATCATATGAAAGTAGTTTGGCCTCTTCTGATAAATCTGTGTGGAGTGATTATTGATGTGTTGAAATGTACTTACTTATTGTGTATTAGGGAAATTGGCTTAGGGAAAAAAAAAAGAAGCAGAATCTTAAGAGCAAGGAGGGTAAACTTGCATGGAAATAGTTAAGGAGGATTTATTTATGGCCATAAATCTGCTCCTGGGAGCGTTTTGCTCAGTAATCACAATGTCTACTTTATGCTGCTAGCTTGGTGTATATATATATATATTTTAAATTATGGGCATCATTTTCTGAATGCCAGTGGGTGAATTTATAATATTACTAAGAAAATTACTCTGCGTTTACTTGCTAGCTGTTAAAAGCCATCCTGGACTTATATTTTATGCAATGTCAGTAAAGGCAATGAAGTTATATGAAAAGACCACATTTGTAACAGGTGTAAATTCTCTTAGGTCTGTTGGCTTTGGTTGCCATGTGACATCTTACAGACACTGAGGGGCTGGCCAGGGGAAAGGAGGCAGTGTTATTTTTTAAAAGATGTCTTTGATCTGGTTGTATTTTAACACAGATTGTCTTAAGATGATTTGTAAAGCACTTTGGGATGAAAAACTTCATGGAGTCTTAATTTTCTGAAGGGAAAAAATGTGTGTAATTGACCTTTTTGGGAATATTGAAGTGTGATGTAACAGTGCAAGGAGATAAATACAGTTTTATTGTTGCCAGGTTGTTGCTGCCTTGTTTTCAACTGTGTAGTCCAGTCTCAGAAATACAAAAAACATAAAAAGTGGTATATTATGGTTAAAATTTATTAGCATATTTGCTAAGAGAATCACAGCACGTAACTTAAAATCACTGAATGTTTGAATTTAAATTTAATTATTGTAGTATTTGTTGTAAAGCCTTCAGAAAGTGCTGCTGTAGATTGTCTGATGCTGTTCAAACAGGACACCTCTATAAAAAAATTGAAGTTTAAGAAAATGGAGGCACCTCTGGAGTTGTGTATATATGTTAATGAATCCACAAGTATGTATGGTTCAAATGAAAAATCTGACAGATAATGTTGTTTGAACACAAAGTGCATTAACCTGCTCTGGCAGGAGTTAAAGGTCAATTTTTCTGAATACAAACTGGAGTTTGTGAGACTCCCAGTCCAAAATTATTTATGGATGTACCTTCCTTATTGATGTTGTAAAGGTGTATTTTCAAATTAAAATCATTACTGTTAGATTAAACAGGGGGATCTGAGCCTCTTGCAGTATTTAAAAGGAAACATCAAGTGGAGTGGAAGCAGTTAATTATTCAAGGTAGAGGTGCTGCTTGCAGAGTTTGTTGTGTTTCTAAATAACTGAACTCTGCTGTAGATTTTATCCCTTATTTGCTCTACAAGTGATGAGTTGGCTTAGTGGGGAGCAACACAATATTTTATAATATTTATGTTGCTTTTAAAGAAGGAACGCTAAATTATTTAACGTTTTGTACTGAAAACCATGTAGATATTTCCGTGGGTAAGATGTACATTAAATAAATTATCCTGTCAACGATGTGACATAAAAGTTTGAAAAGCAGAGTTTGTGGAGCTTTTTGTTTAAATATCAAGTTATAAATTTGTATTATCTCTTAATAAAATAACTTCCTATGCCCTTTGGAAAATACAGAGTCAGAGTGAACAGTGAGAATTTATGTTAAATCTAACTTCTGCACCTAAATGAAATACCAGCGAAGCCTGAAGGCCAAATTCCCATAGTCCTGATGCCCATAAACAAATTATTACCCAGAAAAAAACCTGTGCCTCTGGCTTTGATTAGATGAGTCAACTGTATTAGGGGCACACTCCAAAATCTGCCTTTTACTGGAGAAACTTGACACTGAAACAATTTCAAATGCTTATGTAAATGAATGCAGAAATGTTTCTGAAGGATTGAAACCTAAACCCAGGCTACAGCTGGGAGGAGAGAGCCTGGATTAAGTGCTGCTGTTTGATGGTGAGCCACCTGATTTTTAGTGTGCAGGAGCAGCCAGGCACCTTCAGATGGTGAGTCAGAGCTGTAAGAGGGAGTAATTGGCTCCTGATTTGTATTTGCTTTTGCTCCCTGGATGTGCCTGTCTCCATCAGCTGCTGGAACCTTCTGGAGGTGGTTGCTGAGGTAGGAGAGCACTGGAGCAGGAGAATTCAGATTATCACCCTCTCCTAAAAACTCCAGCAAGCAGATAGCAGCAATTCCTCTGTATGTTGCTGAGCAGTGGTTGAGGTGTTATTATAATATGAATTTAGTAATATTTTACTTGCATATTTCAGATTTTGTTGTTTCCATACACTGGTTTTATTTGGAATACTAAGGGAAAAGGAAAGAGGTTGATACAGCCTTTATCTGTATATTGAGTATTTTTATTTATTCCTAAGCATGGTCCTGCTGGGGAATAAATAAAACTAATGTCTTTGGTTCAGCAGTGTCAAAAAATAAGTTGGTCCTGTTAAAAATATCTCACTGAAACCCCTTCAGTTCATTTTTGTACTACTTTGATCATAACATTCATGTGTAAATTCTGCATCTATCCTGGAACCAGGTGGCTTTGGTATGTGGCTGCTAGCTGAGAATTACCCAGCTTATGAAAAATAATCCATAGGAGCCAAAGTTGCATTTAAAAAGAAAGCAAACAACAACCCAGACCAAAAACCCCCAGCAGGTTTTGAAAGACCATTGCCCCCTTTTCCAACCAAGTTCTTGTACTGAAAATGGAATTAATTCATCTTACCAAACATTAGTTTGGAAAATAAATGACTGTTCTGCCAATGACTTTTTTGTTGAAACTCTAGCTTCCATCTTGTCCATCCTTAAAGGAAAAAGGGATTTAAAAAAGAGGACTTTCAAGTTGTAGGACAGGTTTTTCACATGTTTTCTGCATCTCAGGGAACATATTTGTTTGTGAGAATGAGCCTCTCTTTGGAGATGGATCTAGAGAAATAGAAGAGGGAAATCAGGTGCTTTTAAAGTTTCCTTTAGGCTTCTTGGGACTATTTAGATTTTTTTTTTTTTGTGATCTCATGAAATTACCCTGCTAGCTTCCTTTCCCTCTGAGTTTTGTGCTCTTTTTTTCTTGAGGGATTTCAGTGTTAAGTACCAGCCCCAAAGCTGAGGAGGTGGGATGTGTCCCAGAAAGGTTTATTGGAGGGCAGACTCCTGGCCTTTCTGTTCTGAACTGAGAGGAGTCAAGCTCAGAATAGGGAGAAGTGAAGTTTTGAAGAACTGAAGTTTTGATTGTAACTACCTGGCTCTGCTGGAGTTCAGGGACTCTGCTCATGCAGGGTTAAGACTAAACATTTTAGAAGTTTAGTCTTTTGTTTAATCAGAAGTTGAGGACATGTTGCAGGGTGAAATGTTGTGATTTGTGTTAAGCTGTTAAACCCCATTTTTGTAATTGGTTCTTCCAACTTTGATAAAAAAACACCTAATAATGAAATTATGGGTGATTTTATTAGCCCAAGTTGCACCTGAGAAAAAAAAAGGTCCTTGTTCAGTGAGGCTTAACTTCTCTCCTGACATTTTCGAAGTAGTCACATCTGTCAGGTGTTTTTATGCCAGTGGTGAATAATAGCTCTGGGATACCTATTTGATCTCACATCAAAATAAAAGAAATTAATGGGTAAGCAGCAATGCAGTTTGAAATGCTGTCAGCCAATCTGTGAGTCACCCACAGTTGAATTTTTGTAATAAAAGACAGTGCATGGTATAATAATGTCTAATAACCATAATATTTTGCATTTCAATAGCACCTTTCATCCAAGAATCTCAAAGTGCTTTACAAACATAAACTCCCAATAAACTCAGTAATGCTCACAGTACTCCTGTGAGGTGGTGGGTGAGTATAACCTCAGCTCAGGTTGGGAAAGTGAAGCACACAAAAGCTGAGGATAAAAAAGCTGGGACAAGTGGAGCAGGGGTCATCTTGCTCCCTTGTTGTAGCTGTTAGGCCATGACTTGGTGTAAAAACAGTTCATCAAATAAAGCTCATCCCTTTGATAGCTGAGAGGAAATAAATATCTGGGGGTGACATTAGAAACCTCTTGTTCTGAGAATGACTCAGGAGTGTGGGGGTTGTTCCTGCCCTGAACCCAGTTTTACCTGGAGTTACCTTTGCTCTCCAACTGTGGATTTGCCTTGGTTGTGTTGTCAAATCAAAAGTCATTCAGGGTACTGAGGTGCCTTTGAATTTCATTTTGTCCAAAATGGGCAATGTATCTTCACAAACCAGATTTATTCTAATGCTGGTACTCGTTTCTCTCGCATCACATGGAGCTCAGCTGTAATTTTCAGTCGTGGGTGGACATGTGATATCCAGAGTCCAGCCAGTGCAATCATGCTCTGCAATTAGGTGCATAATTACACATTTTCAAACACTTTATTAATGATTTGGGATTTGAACTATGGGTGCAGGAGAAATAAAATAATGAGTACATAAACGGAACAGCATTAAATCCCATATTTAGAACTGAAATTAATTTAATTAATTTCATTCTTTAGAACTAAATTTAAACTTTAATTTCTGTACAATAATTTCTTGTAGTTTAAAGGTTCTACTTCAGATTCATAGTTCTTGGTAGAGATGATGGTGGTGAGGAGCACCTGATGGAGGTGTCACAAGGCTCCTTTATCCAGCTCCTTGCTGGATGTGTTTACCCTGTGGAGTTACTTGTACCCTGTGCTCTGGGGCACAGCCTTTGTGTCCTCTGTGTTTCTGTTCCGTGTAGCCAGACTGGCTGTAACAGGTCATCCCTTCCTGAGAAAAATTCATCGCTGATCCCATGGGATGGTGCTTAAAATGACCTGATGTGTCATGGAAGGGTGTCTGAAATCCAGCCAATGTCCTTATATTTTAGACTCCAGCCCAACTTCTGGCACTATTTGCCCATTCTTTTATCCAGGATATCACAGTTATGGCCCTGTATGGTAAAAAGATGAATCCACCTCATGTTTGGTTTGTAGAATGCAGACAGCACACGGGATGGGTGGGAGGATCAGCAGGGTTTGAGTATTTTTCATGTATCAGCTGCTTTGGCTGAGATGTGCAGACCACTGTCAGTTCCATACTCTGGGCTGTAGTTACATTCCAGGTCAGCCAATATTTATTTAAAATGTGTTTACTGTGAGTTTAAAATTAAATAGGCATTGATGTGAGGATCACAGGATATAAATATTTGAAGAATTTAAAGATTTCTATATGTGAAATAAAACCTGCTAACTGTTCATGTATGTAAAACTGCACTGCAATTATAGAAGGTGCATCCAAGACATTTTAGCATGTAATTCTGCACAGTTATGCCGTTTTGCTTCTTGAAGATGATACTTACTTTTCAGAAAACAGAATATTAGTGTTTGAAATATTTGAAATATTAGGCAGTGTTCAAAGCTGATGGAAAATAAACCCCTTTTTCTTTCCTAGGGTATATTTCCGAAATCGCTGGGTAAAGACTGTTCACCCAGTTGTGCATCAGTACTGTTTGATTTCAAGCACACATTCCACCTTTCAGATGCCACAGAAAGAAGACATTCTTAAGCAACGAGTAGTAGTTGTTACTTTAAATACATCACAATACCTATGTCAGCTGGATCTTGAGCCAGGTAAGATAATTTCTAGAAAAGAAGTGTCCATGCTTAAGAAATATCTTCCTCTTGCCACTGTTGGTCCCTTACCCAATTCTTGGAACTGTTAAAAAATAAAGTAAACAATGATAATCTTAACATGCTTGTTTGGTTTTTTATGAATAAATGTTTATTACAAAGCTGTAAACTGCTGGCATTCTAATTAACCTTTTGCTTGTTCTTTTTTTTTTCCTTCTTAAAAAAAAATTAAATAAAGAAGCAATACTATGTATGATCTGGTGTTTCTGAGATCCAAGAGGGAAAATTCTGTTTGAGATTCTGACTTTGAATATTATGCTCATTAAGGTCATTACTCAGTGGAGCATGTAAGCATAAATAACAGAGAGCTTTTTTCCCTTGTTTTGTGAATTGTTTAGCTTTGCAAGCAACTCCCACACATACAAGCCCTGTCTTTGTTAACATGATACATTTAGGGTTGTTTTCTAAACTGAAAGATATTAGACTGATTTTTTGGGACAGAGGCTGCATAGGGTTTATTATTTTCCTGATCTCCAAATTACATCCATCTGCTTTTTGCAGAACATGGAATTTCTCTACATAAGTTGTTAGGATTAGTTTTTTATGGCTACATTTAAGCATTTGTTGCAACAGCGAAAACTAATATGGAATTTATGGTAAATATTTTTGGGTCTTCAGATAGAAATAGCTGCTTTGTTTGGCAGCAGGCTGTGTACAGTCATGGCATAGCAATGTCTGTGCAGCTGTAAGAAATTCATATTTTCCAAAGAAAATTGCTGCATTTTTATGTATGTAATCTGAATTGGATGGTGCACTAAGTCCTCTAATACTTTGTTTTAAACCTTAATATAACACAGACATCAATGTATGAAACCACTTCGATACCTATCCTGAATTTAGATTTAATAAAATATAAGTCTAAAGTGGCCAAGTTTCTTTTCAAGTGCATGTTCTCCAGTGCATAGATTCCCACCAAACCTTTGGTCCAATATTATCATAAGATTGAATTTAAATTTTCCTTCAACTTCTGTTCCTTTTTTCCCCCCCAACATTCCTTTAAGCCCATAACCAGCAAAGTGCTCAGGTATGTGTGCAATTTTAATGGGAACTTTAGTATATAAAATCATTACTAGGACTCAAGTACATTCAATGAGGAATTCCTTGTCATTGTCACTGTCCAAAGCTCTTCAAGTCTCATGGTGGCAAAATAACTTTCAGATTTGAGAAACCTCTTGAGGGATGGTCTGCCAAGAGATCTTGGGGTAAGGAGGGCTCAGATAAAACATATGTTTGGTTTCATGTGTATCACAAGAAAGAGGCAGACCTGGGGGCTCCTGCTAATGTCACTGGCAACCAGGTGACCAGTGTTGGTCATTTGATGGGTGTGAAAAATGTGTGGTTTTCGGTAGCTGCTAGAAATTAATTTGTGTAAGCCATACTTTTAAAAATTCTAGTTTTGGTTACTATCAGAATACAGAATGTTAAGTTCAAGTTCTTGTTTTCAATATTCATTTTATCAAATTGCAAGTTTCATTTATTTGCTGATATCTCTGTTTTACAGGGTTTTTTACACACATTCTGTTAGATGAAGCTGCTCAAGCTATGGAGTGTGAAACGATTATGCCTCTAGCATTAGCTAATAAAAACACAAGAATTGTCTTGGCTGGAGACCATATGCAGGTAAGAGCAATTTTGGAGTATGAAGTGCATATGTATAATATTTGTATTTATCTATTCAAGTTATTTAATTGCACCAAATCATATAATAGATGGGGAGGCCAAGGAGAATTCCAGGGATGTTATTTAAGATTTGATATTTATTACTGGAGTTTATGACTGCTATTCCCTGTTGGTTTTTAAAATAATTCAAGAATATGGAAAACTGGGATTGAGAGAACTTCACATTTTTATTAGAAGCATCTAGTCTGGTGAAGATTTGAACAAGTGAGAAATGGGAAGCTGAAACTAGCCAGTGCTTTTATGTTGCTGCAAAGTGCCTGGGAGCTGCTTGGTTTGGAGAGTTTAAAACACTGATTATGCCTGTCATTTTTCAGCCTGTAGGCATGAGAAAGCATGCTTGGAAAAGTCAGCTTTACTTGCTTTATTGATTTAGGCCAGATTTATTTTCTTTTATAGATTTGCCTTTAATTCTCTTTGCATCTCACAGTAGCAGTAGGGTGGATGTGTGCTTTGGTACAGTAACAAACTCAGAGTGGTGTTGCCACCAATAATTTAATATTACTGGATAATTTCAATGATATTAGTAATGCCAAGGACTGGGGTAGTGCTTTTTAAATACTACTCTCAAAATGCTTTTGGAATTCTTACTTCAGGCTTGATCTCATCAGCCCAGCTGTGTGAATGAATTCTTCCCAGGGCCTATGTGTCTCAGGCTGCTCTGTAGCTCAGGGTCTTACAGAAGGTCTTCTATCAGGTGTCCAGTGTTTAAATTTGAAAACGTAACATGTAGCTGAATCATATGAATTCAGAATGACAAAATATTGGCTTAATTTCTACGCTTGGAAATGATATTTTAAGAATCTCATTTTCATCTCCTTTGGTTCTATTTTTCCTGCTGTAGTAGATGTTGGTTTTATTGTTAAACAAGCCCAGTAGGAGTTTAGTGTAACAGTAAATAGGTCACTGGGTTTTTGTTTTTTCAACAACATTTCTATTTAGCTTTTTAAATGGTACTAAAATTTCTTTGTTTTCTGATTTGTACTATTTGTGGTAATAACTTAATTGTAGAAGTGGTTGTCAGAATAATGGTGTAAAGTCATTCTAAACACAGTTGGGAGTGTTAAACTTAAATAGAAGAATAAAAAGAATAACTTTGCATAGTTATGGAGTATTTTATTGTTCCTTTAAGACCATGATGGTCTTTTGTTACTTTTCTGGCAGACAGGAGCATTTCTTTGGAATAACCATGGTCTGTGTCTTCCAACGATGAATGTCCAGTGAAAGGGAGGTTTCATTTTTGGGTTGATGCAAATACATGTGTTGGGAGCGTGAAATTCCAAGTCCACCCATTTAGTTACATTTTCTTTGTGTGTGTGTGTCTATTACAGCTCAGTCCTTTTGTCTACAGTGAATTTGCCAGGGAGAGAAACCTTCATGTTTCCCTGCTCGACCGGCTCTACGAGCACTACCCTGCCGAGTTCCCGTGCAGGATCCTGCTCTGTGAGAACTATCGCTCCCATGAAGCAATCATCAAGTAGGTGTGAACTTTTTCACTCTATCATGTGCTTCTTCTGACTGCTGCCAGTGAACAAAAGAGCCAAGCTCAGCTGAAGTGTTTCTGGCGTGAAATCTTACTTATTTCAAAGTTAATTAGTAGTTCTCTGTGGTAATTTGGTCTCCTAGAGCAGCTGCCTGGGCTGTGGGACAGACCCCTCATTCAGGTGGGGATGCTTTGGCTGCTTGCACACTAAACCAAAGAAGAGCCAACTTTCCCTTTTTAACCACCCAGCAGTTTATTATGTAGCTTCTGTGCTTCTTTGAGCCATTTCAGAATTTTAGATTTACTGGGGTGGATTATCTTGGAATGGCAAGCTGTGGGCAGTGTAAGGAACATATGGATATGCAACTGTGAATGGAAAAAATAGGTCAAATTTTGAGCGTGTTTCTTTACTGTTGACATCTTTTATTACTTCTTTCAAGACACATTAATCAGTGGGTTTGCATTTTTATGCTATGATAAACTAATGGCTGCCAGTGTAATGAGCTCATCCATGAGCTGTGCTGGAAAGAATAAGTGCAGTCATGGGGAAAAATGCTAAAGTTTAAATCCTGGCTCAAATATGTACTGAGGAATATTATGTTGGTATCCAGTCATACTAATTAGGTTATCACTGTGTTCAAAGCAAAAGCAGAAATATTTAAGTGCTCTGGGGAATCAAAAGTGAAAATGTAAAATATTTTTTACATAGCTTGATCTGTCTTCATGTTATGGACTTTGTAGTTATAGGCTGAGTGCTACTAAATTTCTTACCCATTTTTTGAGTTTCTGAGTTTGAAATGAGAGAACATCTGTAAAGGAAGGGATCATTTTAGCTTTTCTTTAGAGATCACTTCCATGTCATTTACCTCAGAAAGGTCATGAAAATTCACTTCAGCAGCTGGAGTTCAGACAGGGAGTTCCAAGAAAGATCCACTTTGCTGAACACCGAGGTGAGGATGCAGAAACACCAGTGGGTCTGGTTGGCTCTCTGGTAAAAGCCCAGTGTGCCCAATTCCTGGGAAGTGCTGCTGTGTGAGGTGAAACCAGCTGAACACTCTCTTGGTGGTCCCTTTGGAGATGTCTCAAGTCTCTTTTTTGTATAAAATGGAATTTCCCCTGACAAATGGGACCATGACACTTAGGACAGAAGTGTTGGAAGATGAAGGGCTCGTTAATCATCTCTACCTCACTGGGGCAGAGACACCATGAGAGATAGAGGAAAGCAGGAGCCATTAGTTCAGCCTGACTTTGGAGCTGTAATTGGAAAAAACGTCCCATACAAAAAAAGTTTTGTTGTTTAATGAGATCTCATTACTGAAAGTTAATTTGCAGAAGAGATGGTTAGTTTTGCTCCCTGGCTGCTGGGGAGTGACTGCTGCAGCCTAAGCCAGAGAGGAGCCCAGTGTTCTTCAGGGTTGTCCAGGGTGAGCCAGTTCAGGTCAGGGGTGGCTGCAGTGCTTTGGTGGTGATTGGGAGCAGACAAGTTTCTGTGGCTTTTCCATGAGCAGCTGTTTCCATCTCAAGCTGCAGTAGCTGGAATCCTGGAAGAGCTTGATGGACCCACCAGCTGCAGTCTCCTGCTTTGGTTGTCTTCATGTCAGGCTCTGCTCAGGTTCCTGCAGCCCCTGAGTGCTAGCCAAAGAAAATGAAGGTTGGAGGCTGAGCATTGAAAGTGAGATGATACCAAAATTCACTCATTACTGGCAGCCAGTGCATTAATTTAACTCTACTGTGCAATAACATTAACAACACTCTGCAGTCTCTCCTTGCTGCCTTTTTGTCTCATTCCATTCAGGTTGCCTTTTTCCCTCCTACTTTCCACCATGAAGTAGTTCTTGCCTCATTTCTTTTTCAGTCAGCCAGCTGCTGGAATGGCTGCTGCCAGCAGAGGAACTCTGTTCTGGTTGTGTTTCTGGTCTCTAGCAACATAGATCAGCCTGGAGTAGAAGTCACAGAAGAAAAGCTTGGTTGACAGCTGAGTGCTTGGCCGGCGTCGTGCTCAGTGCACACGAAATCTGTAGTAAATTAATCTTGCAAGTTCAATAACTCTTAACTGACATGAGCAAGCTCATTGTCCAGCCTGGGGAATAACCAGTGCCAGACAGCAAGTGTTCTTTTTGCCCAGTTTCCAGCCATCAGAACTTCTGAGTGAAACATCAGTGAGAATGTTGATAACTTAGTCGAGCTTCAGATGAGAAAACAGCCTTTGTATAAAAAGTGTTGGAGAAGCATATTTTTAGTGCCTTCTGCTGTGTCTGTAGAAGGGAAATATCAGTTCAGAGAAATCATTTGAAGATGCTGAATAGTAATCAGTGGTTCTGTTTTCCTTATGAAGTATTTTGTGGTTGCATATTTCATCAGGGAGATTTGCATATTTTATCAGTGAGCTCATGTGTAGACTCCACATTTTACCCTGTTTTGCCTCGTTACAGTTACACATCCGAACTTTTCTATGAAGGCAAATTGATGGCAAGTGGAAAGCAGCCAGCACACAAAGATTTCTACCCTTTGACTTTCTTCACAGCACGTGGAGAAGATGTGCAAGAAAAAAATAGTACAGCTTTTTACAATAATGCAGAGGTAACTCTTCTTTGCTTTTACTGTTGATTGTTTTTTTAAAGCTCAACTCCCCCAAATGTACTGGTTTATGCTCAGTGTGGGTGGAAGACATAAATTGTCCTCTACTAGGAGAGTGGAACATGGAGTTTGCTAAACATGACGTAATGAAAATTGCAATTGTAGTAAACATTTCCACTAATTTACCTTCTTTTTTTCTTCTGCAAATTATAAGCTGCAGCTCATTCTCCCAGGCTCATTCTTCAGGAGAGAAGATTTGTCTTTCTTGATAATTTATGTGACATTCTGATAGATGTATCTTAGCAACTGAGAGTAACTGCAATTTGAAGTAAAACTTAGATTTCTTTGACTGTTGTAGAAATGTTCCCACTCAGATAAGAGTCCTCTGGAGTAACATTTCACATTTCCTTTAATATGTTTAGGATCAGTGTCTAACTGATAATGTGCAGATGAGATTCTTTTAGGTGAGAACTTATTCTCTGTTTGTTTCACATAGATTTATTGGTATTCTTCAAAAATTACTTTCATTCTCTTTCCTTCCCTTGTGTTTAGAAGAACCAAACAACCCAAGCCCACAGAAACAAACACATGCAGCAGCACCCACCTCCCACCTTCTGACTTGAGAATGCTTTTCATAGTGGAAGGTGCCTTTTTCCAGTCACCTCCAGTTAGGGAGGGAGGGAAAATCAAAGACATAACAGTGATTTTCATAAGCTTAGGAGGAATTTCTAGGTAGTGTTTGTTGTGAAGCACTGCAGAGCTGCCTGTTTCCCCTTGTTGATCATGGTGGGACTCCTCTGCTGCACAATTTGAAACCTGTTTGTTGTTGTTGTGCTGCCCTTGTTAAACATTCTTTGTTGTGTTAAAATATCTTCTGAAATAAGAAGCTCCAATGACTTCTGGACACCTGACTGCTTTCATTAATCTACTTGGATTGCTTTGCCATTTAAAAAAAGTTGTAAAAGACCTAAAAATATCTTCAGTGGCCAAGTAACTGTCTGAAAACTGTGAGTCATTAATGGCCACAGGCAGAAATGAAGGACAACGGCTCCTTAAACACCAGCAGGAAAAACTGAAATTAGATGATGAGGGAGATTTTTTTCTGTTTGACCCTTAATGGATATTTGCATTGGGGCATCTTGTGGTTCATTGATGCCTATATTAAGAATTATTCTGGGAAATGCACTTTCCCTTGTTGGTCTTCATTTAAAAATATCCCTATGTGGTATTAATTCTAAATACATACCTAGAAGCCATATACTTTCTGAGAATCTTGCCAAAATTCCTACAAAAGATCCTTATTTTCCTGCTATGGTTTTTATAGATATCAAAGTTTATTCTAATATCCTTTGTCAGCAGAGCTGGCTTTTAAATGCAAGAATTGATGTCACAAAAACATTCAGTACTTGCTTAAAAACAGTCCCATATTTTCAGTATCCTCTGAAATTGCCAAAAATAAACTATTTGTGACTTTTTAAGGATTAACAGATATTTTTCTTCTTTATGAGGCTGAGCTTGCATTTGTGATGCTGTAGGAAAACAGCACCATGAATTACCATGCTTTAAATACCTGGAGAAATAATTTATTGAATGTAAATTAAAAAAAAAAAAAGACAAGGAGTCACAAACCTTCTATAAGGTTACTCAGAAGTGCCTTGTGCAGTGCAGTACCTCTGGTGGGTTGGAATGAGCTGCTCTGGCAGGAGGTTAGTTGGAGGCTGTCTCCTCACAGAGGGAGATTTTCAGGTTTTAATACACATTATTCTTCTCAGGTAGCACATTTCATAGTATTTCACAGGGAGGAGCTAGCAGTTGATGAATTATCTGAAACTCCCAATGGTATCCTTTGGAATGGGAGGTCATTGTGCTCTGGCATACAGGTGCTGTGTCTAGAGTTATCAGACATGATAAGATGACATATATCAAATGCAGAATAAAAATTAAATTATAGCTATTTGGGCAGTACATTTACTTACAGAAATAAGTTGGAGTATGGCAAGAAAGGTCCTAGTGCACTTGACATTTTTGTAAGAACCTAAGAATGAAAATTAAGGTTATCAATGTAATTTTGAAGTTTGTAATTTTAACTGTGACTCTTGTGGGAAAACTTATTTAAAGATAAAAAAGGGTGCTGTATAATGAATACATTGTTTTACTCCAGGATACTTTTAGTGTCCCTGTAGGATGCAGTAGTATCATTGCTTGTGTAACACTGTGTCATGTAAGCCTTTCAAAGCCTTAAAGCTCGAATTCCTTTCCGTATCAAAGAGCGCAGCTCAGTGGGGCATAACTTTTAAGAATCCTGCCTTTTCCCCCAGGTGTTTGAGGTGGTGGAGCGCGTGGAGGAGCTGAGGAGGAAGTGGCCAGTGGCCTGGGGCAAGCTGGACGACGGCAGCATCGGGGTGGTGACCCCGTACGCTGACCAGGTGTTCCGCATCCGCGCCGAGCTGCGCAAGAAGCGCCTGTCCGACGTCAGCGTGGAGAGGGTGCTCAACGTGCAGGGTGAGCAGCTGGGCTGCCCATGGGGAAACGTCCCTGCTGCTGTAATAACTTCAGAAAATTGCCCTGGAGTTTGCTAAAAGCGCCCTAAAGCCGCGGGAGCAAAAGGAGAGCTGTGGTGCAGGCGTTGCTCCAATGCTGACTGTAAACTCGCCGATGTCAGACTGATCTCCTTTATCTCAGTGGATGTCAGATTTATCTTTTCTCAAAAAGATGTCTTTATCTTTTCTCAGAATTAAGTTCAGCCCTACTTAAAAATTGAGTGAAAATTGCGGAAAGCGATAGGTTTTTAACAGGATTTTAATGTTTTTAACAAACTGATAGGTTTTAGAGTTCCAAATACAAATGTAACAGAGTTTTAGCCTCAGAATGTTTTACTGATTTCTTTTCCATCTGTGGAATAAACTGCAAGGAGTCTAAAAATTTAGGTGTTTCTTCCTGAAATCACATTGATAACAAGGATTTTGTGTAGGCATAGCTGGTTGCTAGGTTGCATTTCTAGTCAGTAATAAACAAAGGCAGATGATAAAGTAACTGAGTGACAGTGAGTGGTTTGCTGTGTTTTTTCATGGCGGATATTCATGTATTTGAGAATTTTAAAAATATGAATCAAGAATGTCCAGAATTTATTTTTAAGGTAGAATAAATAAATCAAGACTTGTTATTGACTCATAGGCAATGCTGTAAAGATAATTAACATTTCAGAAGGTTCAGGAGTGATTAATATCAAGGTGAAAAAATAAGTTTTTTAAAGAGGAAATATTCTTGTAATGGAATATGCTATTTATAGTGCATCTTTTAAAATTTTTAAATCTTATTATTCTTGCATAAAGCTCTTTATGTGAAGGGTAGCTATGAGTTCAGAACATCTAGGTGTGAAATCTGGCTGGCAAGGGCAGTGGTCTGGCCCTGGTAGGAGCAGAAATAGCAACAATTATCTCAGAGATGTTTTTTGTTTCATTTTAGGAAAACAGTTCAGAGTTTTGTTCCTCAGCACAGTACGAACACGGCACACATGCAAGCATAAGCAAACTCCAATTAAAAGGAAAGAGCAGTTACTGGAGGATTCAACAGAAGACTTGGATTATGGTTTTCTGTCTAATTACAAACTTCTCAACACTGCCATTACAAGAGCACAATCCTTGGTAGCTGTGGTTGGAGATCCTATTGCTTTATGTTCCATTGGAAGATGCAGGTACTTTCACTATGTTCCTTGGTTGATCAGGGCTAAGGGTACTGGAAAATGTGTTTATCTGTGACTGGTGGATTTAGGAAAGTGATGGTTGCCATCATATATGACAGGGAAAAATGTGAGATACCTACACCTGGCTATGACAAACTGTCTTTTCCTGTATTTATTGTTGCTCACATTTCCACTTAACAACTGAACATGCTTGATTTTACTTTCTAGTAGGGTTTTTTGTATACCTGTTACAATTTTTTATACAAATCAAGGTAATGCATAATTTGGAGTTTAAAATTGTGATTTGAATGTTATGGCAGTCGTAGGATGGTAGAAGACTTGAGAAACATTATTTATGTTTTGATAGGTCTTCATGACACTTGGAAAAACTCTTTAAGATTTGAGTGGATTTATATTTTGTAGACCTAAATGAAGAAATGTGAAAAATGCTGAGATATGTAAACACTTACGTTAAAGGTTCCAAGTTCTTGTTCTTCAAAGGGTTTTTTCCGATGGAAGGGCTGAAATTTTGAGATGATCAGAGATAAACCCTGCAGCTTATTCTCAAAGAGAGGAAACAGTGCACCGACTACATTATTAAAATAAAGCTAAAAATACATGTTAGTTGTTATATCTATGTTGTGTTCTACTTTCCTGAGCAATGCTTGTGCTACTGTGTTGAAAAGGGATGTGGTTTTCAAAGATTAGAGTTGAAAAAGCCAAATGGAATTCAAACCTTTGTTTACTGTATTTATGAAATATAACCTGAATTTCACCACTTCCCTGCTGGGGCCGTGTCAGGAGTGTCTGTACATGAGTGCAGTGATCTGCTTTAAATGGCTTCTAACATCTTACTGACAGGGAAATAATTGTTGTGGGTTTAATTCACTTTTCCCTTACCTGGTTGAGTTTTTTAGGCAAGGGTGGTTTATGGAATGAGCTGATGAGAAGGAGCCCCTGTGCCTCCCAAGTGCTCCTTCAAAATATTTGAAATAGGGCGTGCAAAAACTTAATAAAATAAAAATATAGGTTGTCAGCATGGTAAATAAATTACAGTGCTGGCAGTTAAGGATTGGGTTTGCATTTTGAAGACCAGCAGCTGTTTATGGATGTAGAGCTGCTCCAAATTATGAAACTGAAAGATAATTAAGAAACAAGGAGCACTGAAACTTTATTAAGATGTATCTTGAGCTTTCCCTTTAATACACCATTGTCTTGTTTCACTGAATAATTGAACATTCACTCTTTGAAAATAGTGCTGGAGGGGCTCAGGGAGGCTGCTGGGAAGATGGTTCTTTTTTAGTACAACAGGAGTAGAGAAGTCTGAAAGAAGTGACATTTTGTTAGGAAAAACAGACCTCAAAAAAGTTTAGAGTGTACTTGAATTTTATAAATATTCTAATACCTGTCAAAATGAGTCAAGACTGTAATGATAGTTGTAGAGAGCTTTGTGAAGTATGCCCAGGGTAATCATTACATTCCTGTGTGCTCCAGCTGGACTAGGCAGAGCTGTTTTGGCAGACACCCCCTTTAAACTCCCGAGCACACTCAGAGGCAGCAGGGTTTTATTCCCTGTTCTTACACCCCAGAACAAGTGTTCCATGTGTGGAGAGACTGCTTGGGGCATTCTCAGCAAAAGTGGATGGGTCTCAGTGGATTTGGGGTACTTGGCAGTAGGTTTGGTGACTGAATTGATTAATCAGAGGGAATCCCATCATTAAAGCATCCCGGTGATGCATTTAATTTTGGTTTTTAATTCTCATTTAAAACCTTGCAAGATCTATTTGCCTTAGAGCAAAATGCAGAAAAAGGGCCAGCTTGCATCCTGAATTTTAAAAGAGCATTTCTTGCCTCTATAAAATCACAGCAGAAATGGGCTTTTAGGGAAAACAATTTTGAATTCTTAAAAACATCAGTAGCATCACAGTATTCTTTCAAGACAGACATTTGTTCTTTCTCACAAAGTCAGGTACTCAGCAAAATGTGACACTGCTGGTACAATTAATGTGCAGCAAGCTCTCATTTTGCAGGTTTTGGGGAAAGAGCAGAGCTTGCTGATAGGCCAGACCTTATTACTGAAGGGTGAGCAAGCAGGAGTTATAGTCAAGCACACCTTTACTCTTGATGCTTTTGAAAGAGACAGCTCAGTCAGTTTTGTTGGGTTTTTTTTAAAGTGACATCTTCAGACCTTATTTAAATAACTTTTAAGCTTCAGTAACTTCACCCAAAAAGTTCCTTTGAAGGTTAAAAAAAAAAATCATAAGTGCAAAATTTTGTGTAGATCCTGCTGTGAATGTTAACCAGAAAAAAAAGACTTTTTTTTTATAAAGCAGGAGAAAGACATGTCATGAGAGAGCAGAAGACAGGGAGGAATGTTCTTTTATTACATGGTTTAAAAAACCCCTCCATCCTCCAGAAAGTTGGAAACAGAATTTTCATCGACAAGTTATGCATCATCTGGTGGTTGTTTTCCTAGCTCAAAAATACTTCTGTATGTTATGGAGAAATCTGACATGCACTAAAATTCATGCTTTTGTTTGTTTTCCACTAGAGGATCTCAAAGAATCTCTAATTTTCACTTGTCTCTGAAGTGTTTCACAAGAGTGGTTTTGAGGGCATATCTCAAAACCCTTTGTATTGTTTTTTCTTGGCTTTGCTATTGTTACACTGAAGGATCTGCCTAAATGCAGAGAATGTTCTTGACAACTTCTGGGACTGAGAGTCTGTGTAATTCCTGTCGCTATTTGAGCTTCAGTAAATGCCTTAAGTCATACATTCCAGAATTTTAAGCATGGAGTTTGCTGGTTTTGGTTTTCTAGGAAAAAGTTCTGGGTTGGAGCTGTCCATGGCATTAATACCAAAGGTGGTACCAGCCAGTGCTGTGACCTGCTGCATGTGGACAGGGCTGTGTGTCCGTTTGGAGTGGCTGGGGAGCTTTGCCCTGTGCTGTGGGGCTCAGCTGCAGGGTGGATGGATTGGTGTGTAAAATGAGCACACACAAACAATAAAAATGTCCCACAGTTACATCAATCTGTTTTCTTTTTAATAACAGCCATTGAGCCTTCCTCACTCTTTGTAAAAATCATTTCCATAGGAAATTCTGGGAAAGGTTCATTGCCCTGTGCCACGAGAACGAGAGTCTTCATGGCATCACATTTGAGCAGATCAAAGCTCAGCTGGAAGCTCTGGAGTTGAAGAAAACCTACGTGTTGAACCCTCTGGCCCCCGAGTTCATCCCGCGAGCGCTGCGGCACCAGCACTCCGCCAACCCCAGCAAGCAGCAGCAGTCACCTCCGAAGGTACAGTGTTCCTGGGGATGCCTGCTGTCAGCAGAACCTAGAGAAACAGCGTGAAAGGTTTATGGAACAAGCTGTTTGCTTTAAAATTGCATCAGTGCAATGATATGAATGCAGACTGCAGAGGGATCCTCAGCGTTTGCAAGTGAAAGCTCTAGACTTGTGTTATCATAGAGTTTTTAGCAGCTTGGGGTTGTCCAAGCCTTGTTTCCTTACTGCAGCTCACCTTGGCCTGTTCACTGGCAGTTTTGCAGTGACCCTGGAGAACTTCAGCTCTGGAAAGTCAGCATTTAGATAAACCAGATTAAACCCTCTGAGGAAGAGCCAGTCCGTGTCCCAAGCTGTGCTCTGACTGTACCTCAAGAAACAACAGGTTGATAAAGACAATGACGAGGAGTAAAAGCATCCTTTTCATTAAAATAATAGCCAAAAGGGATTTGGTTTGGTCTAAAAATCACATTTAAAATTCAAGGACTTAAGTTATGTAAGATAATTTTTGATGTAATTAAAAATATGTTGTAAACTGGTTTATTGCATAGATTAGCTTAGTGATAATGTCCTTCAGAAGACCAGATTTCATTAGCATCAAGAGGACAGAAAGATAAAATTACCTCTGAGTGGTAATTTCATCAGCTCTTTTTATAAAAGCAGGTGAAGAAGTGATGAAAATATATAGCTTCCTTAGGATGATAAAGAAAAACCACTAAATTTTAGAGCTTTCTTGGGGGGTGATATATTAGTAATGAATTCTGTTTTAATAGTTCTTTGTAGTTTATATCAAAATCATTTGGGTTGTAATTTAATTAAATTGTGTTTAGAGATGGAACTGAAATGCAGGTTGTCAGCTTTGTGATGAACTCAGTGTACAGGAAGGAAGAACTGCACATATTTCCCATAGCTTTGCATTTTTGTTCCAGGCTGTATCATTGAAATGAAATTTTTACAGCAGGTTTTTTTAATACAAAGAGGAAAGCTTTCCCTTTGGCAGTCCTTCCCAAAAGGGAGCTTGTAAGGGAGAACATTTGGTTTCTTCATCAAGATGCATGAATTACTTTCTCAAACAAACACCAGATTTCTAAAGCTTCTAGTCATGTGTCAAAACACTGGGCCTACAGAAAACCAGAAATTACAAAATTGTCTTTAAAAGCTACTGCTGTACTCTCATTTTTCATGAGCTCTTCAGTTTTTTCCTTAATAATAGAATATCATTATTAATACTTTTAGTTTCCTAAATGAAAAAAAAAAGGACTTGAGAATGCAGGTACAGTACATTTAGGAAAAAAGGGGGAGTGAGTGTTGGGGAAAGTGAGAGTCTTGTAAGTAGACAGCTCTGTTTATTTTGCTTTAGTTTGTTGGTAAACTAAGCCCTTGTGCTGTTCCAACTGCCAACACTCTATTTTCATCCTAAGATCTGAAGTGTTTGAGCCACCTGTATCACAATTCTAAATAAAATCTTCCCTCTGAATGCCACTGACAGGTAGTAAGTGTGTGCAGTAAGAGCAGAGCAGTGAGCAGGTAATAATCAAATTCCCTGAGAATACAGCTGGGATCAGGGATGCATTTCCCTTTGCTCAAGTGTTAAAAGCAGATGGTTGGTTTTGCTTACTTTAGACATCCTGAGCACAGTATACTTAACATTAAAAATGAAGGATTAAAACCTAGTGCTAGTGCATTTTGTAGCACAAGAAATAAAACCAGTCTTCAATACAGTGTTGTGAGTTTATGGACATTGTGCAAGTCAGGGCTTGTCTTGCACATGTGCTGAAAAGTGGTTTTGTACAAGCAGCACTTCTTATTCAGCAGAATTGCTCCTGGATTTATGTAGGGACATCAAAAACCTACAAAAACCTCTCTGCTGTTTAGATTTTAAAGAAGGAAAACGTTTCAGTCTTGTCTGAGGGCAGCAGCCAGCATGGAGCTGTGAGGGCAGGGCCTTGTCCTGTGCTTGTGTGGCTTGGCTGGCATGGCAGTGGGAAGCAGGGCTGGAGCTGCATGGGGACAGCTTTTATTGGAGGTGATGATGTGGAAAGGGAAAGTTTCCAGAACTCAGAGCTTCCCTGGGGGGACTTCACGTACAGTAAATGAAGCTCTGAGTTTACAACTTTGCTACCTCCCACTCACTGCCTGCCAGCTTTGGTCTGGGTTCAGGCACTTAAATCAGGGTGCATCATCACCCCAGACATTTCCTGCAGTCAGGGAGGATCACAGGTCAGGATAAATCTCTGGAGAACTCTCTCTACTCCTGTTTGTTGACTAAAGGGGGATCCAAGGAATGACAGGGCTGTTAGCTGCCTGCACTCACCCAGATCTTGGTCTCAGCTTCCTGAGAACCTTTATGTAATGTGGATTTTTATATTCCAAAGGTGGAGTGAGTTTTTAGAGGAAACTGAGTGCGTTCGTGCTCCAGTGTTGTCTGTCACCATCAGTTCTAGGGTAGGTTTAGGTATTCTGGAGATGGGTGGGGACATGAACCTTGGTGTGAAAATCTTTGAGAAATAACAATTGAGTTTCATAAGAGACTGTTAGAAAATTGCTAAGCCTTCAAAACTGTGAGGAGAAAAAGAAAAAGAAAAGGGAGCAACTCCCTTTGCCGACTTCCTGTGGCCCCAGCTGACTTTTATTTACCAGTCTGATCCAGGGGCATACTGAAGCTCCCAGTGAGCAGGACAGCCCCTCTTACAAACTTAGGTCATTATTTTCTTACAAGTTTATGTAAGTATGTAGTATATCAGTTTGAAAAATATGGCACCTATAAAATACAGGTCTGACAGCTTAGATCAGAGGTTTGTGCACATGCTGCTTGCCTCTGACATTGTAACAGGTACAGAAATGCTGTGTGCTGGCCATCAGTGATTAAGGCTATAGCTCCTCCACGTTTTTAGATTGAATCTTTCTCTGCTGAATAAACAGGCTTCCTTTGTTTAAGTGCTGCAATGAAAAGCAATTACTATTTTATTTTTCCATAATTCATTTTTCAAATGAGAGGAAAATTTGGAGACCAGTTCTTTAATCTGGTTTATGCATGAGTCAACATTGTCAAACAACCTGTCTTTGTACCCTGACTAATTTGCTCAGAGTGCTGGAAAACTGCCTAGACTTATCTCCTGGGCAAGAAAAGTTTTGCAGCATCAAAGCGTTTCTAGATTTATTTTAAATTTGTGAACGTACTTAGGTCCAGATTAAGTAAAGTATTTCTGTGCTGTAAAGGACTTGAGAGCATGCTGGCAGTGGAATAAGTGCTCACAGTTTATGAATATTAACTAATTAGTTGATGCTGCAAACTCATGAGAAAGTAGGAGGGATAACTCAGGTCTGTTAAAATCCTTTTGTAATGTTTCACCAAGGAAGAGCAGTTTCCCCCAGCACTGGGGTTCTCTTCTGTCCTGTATTGCACTTTTGGGGAGCAGTCACAGAGGAGCCACAGCCCAGAAGCTGATAAATGAGATGGGCAGGGAGACAGTGCCTCATGGGCTGGGTGAGCACCTGAGTAAAGCTGGGGGCAGCTCCTTTGTCTCCAGCATTCCTGAGCTGGAGCCTGGAGCAGAAAATGGATCATGCTTCCACTGAAGCTGCCATGGCAGAGGGGTGCTGAGGGTTACATTGGTGCTGGGTGCTGCTCCTGCAAGATGTGGGACAGTGGGAAATAAAATGGTGAGAAAAGAAACTCAAAATATCTGCTGGAACTCTCTTTGCATCTGAAAACAGGCCTTGGGAGAGGGTTTTCCCAGGGGGAGTTGTAATGACCCACTGGTTAATTGAATTAGTGGTGTTTTATGTCCAGCTTTGCGAATTCATAGGCAGGTGGTGGAACTGAATGGTTGAATGTGTAAGAATAAACTGTTGGGCTGACTCCTTTCAAACTCTGTTTTATGTTTAATTATCATGTCCACCTGAAATAAAAAGCTTTGGTTTGTGTAAGAATGCAAAGATCACTATTGTTGGGTTTTTTTTCCTTTAAAGGGCAAGGTCCATCATCATAACCAGAATGACCATTTCCCACCTGATGGAATTGGTGAGTGCCTCTGCAGTTCCTGGGGAATCCCTGAGCCCAGTGAAGTGACAGTAGTGTGACATACATTGAGTATCTGGTCTCTTCTCTGTTTGAAAGCCATTTACTTGTTGTTTGCATGTGGGAATCGGATCACAGACTGTTAAGTGGACGTTTGGTATTTCAGGGCTCACCCTTTATAGGTGTTGTGTGCACTTATTTTAAAGTTTTAACACAAACACAGTTGTTAGCCTTTAAAAAAAATAGCTGTGTTTGAAATTCATGTACAGCCCTGTACCCAGGGTATTTGCACTAGAAGGGTTTGGACATTATTTTGCATGCACTGCTTTCTGAGGTACTTTGAAGTTGAATTGTGCTGTCATACATCCAGATATTACTGATCATACCTTTGCAAGCTGAATAATTTTGTTATTAATTTGGAAAAGCATTAGATAGAGCTTGTCTTCCCTACTAAAGAAAGGAGGGTTATTTTAGTTTTTGTTCAGTGCTTACAGCCACCCTGACTGTCAGCATATTTAATTGGTTTGGGACATTCTTTCATTAATGCACTTACCAGCTACCTGTTTCTCTGGATCTCAACTTGTATTTTCTGCCTCTTCAAATTCTTGAAATGGAATACAGGATTTGATTAATGCTTTCTCTTGGTGCATCAGACCTGTGCTGTTAGAGAGTTGCACACTTACTTTATCAAGATAGATACTGTTAGGTTGAAAAAACAAAGAAATGATCATCTTCATGTTCTTTTTGTGTATTTATCTTCTTTTTTGGTATGTATATATCTTTTATTTTTATCTTTATTTTCAGTTCAGCCCAATCCTTCTGTTCTAATTGGAAATCCTATCCGAGCATATACTCCTCCCCCTCCTCCTCTGGGACCTCACCCCAATCTGGGGAAATCTCCAAGTCCTGTTCAAAGGATAGATCCACACACTGGGACAAGTATTCTATATGTACCTGCTGTCTATGGAGGAAATATGGTCATGTCTGTGCCTTTGCCTGTAAGAATTCATTTTCTGTTTCTCCCCCCTCCCCGCCTCAGTTGTTGTGTGCACATAAATGTATGGCAAAATCACGTAGTGAATTTCTTGCAGGTTTTTTTCAGCACTCCAAATCTCTGGGCTTTGCTGGCTTTAGGAGTGGCAGGGCAGAGGACAACCAGGAAATAAGGACCTGAAAGCTTTGCTCCCCCAAATAACTCCAGGCAGGCTAAAAGCAATTTCATGTTCGTGTAATTTGGTGTGTTTTAGGCACACCAGTGGAATCTGTCTCATCTGACTTGAGACACCTGCCTCTGAATTATTTGCCTGGTTCAGTTCTTAATCATTGGAGAGACCTCAGTGATTCACACCAAGTTTGTTTCTCTTTATTGGCGTCACACAGCAAATTACAAGTTTTGGATGTCTGCAGTGCAAGGTGTCTGAAGTGAAGTGATAAGAAAAATAAGCATAATGGGATGTTTTTCCCTTCCAGAGCCTCATAGTGAACCAGTTTCCTCTCCAATCCCTTCCCTTAATGACATTTGGGAACAGAATGAAGATCTCTAAGCAGGTCTTTTAGGCTACATTTATGCATGGAATTTTGGATTACAAATCAAACTGTCCCACCAAAATTTGCACACGTTAAAGAAGCAGTCTCTGCTTTATTTTTCCCCTTCCCAGCAACATATTCCAGGAGGAAAATGCAAGGAAAGAACAAAGGCTGCAGAAGCTTGTGGACTAGCATGTCTGTGTTGTACACAGCTCCTGAAGACTGTGGCAAGGATGTGGAACCCACAGATGCAGATGTGTTTAATTCCATTCATAATGCTAAATGTTGGAATACGGCTAATTTGTTTTTTTCCAATAATTATGAGTCCTCTGTTGTAATTTGGGTTATGGATGCTGAACAGGGGACTTGCTGTAGTTTCAGTTTTGTGTCTTAGATCAGCTGGCAGCTGTAAATTGGTTTTCTTTGTAGGCCAAGGAATTTTCCTTTTTCCAAGCTTACTAGAAATCTGCATTTGATGGATAAATTTAAATGCAATGAGAAGGCCAGCAGCTGTATCTTTGTCATGCTTGCTCACATTATATTAATATCACACCAAGGTAATTTAAAAGGCTCTGTCGTATTGTTCCAAGGTTAATATACTTTTTATGTGTTTCCAATCAAAAGAAATGTATTAAAAACAAGTATTTTGAACTCACCTTCCCTGAGGATGGATTTTTAAATAATTAAGCGGGAAGACTGAAGTACTAATGAGACTGCTACTTTTGAAAAGAAGCTTGGAGGTGATTTGGGGTTGTACAGATGCAGTAGTAGCCTAAAGCTGAAGTTCAAAGTGCACATTTCAGGGGCAAACAGTAATTTAAAAAAAAGAATTGGATGAAAGTTGTTACACTTGAAACAAGCAGGAACTGAAGTAAAATGTGTTTATGTTCACGGAACATAAAATGATGTCTTTGTTTAATGCAGTTTCCATACTCAAGGTAAAAGCTAGAGGAGGTTGTCTGCTGCCATCCCTAAAGGATGCTGTGGCAGCCTCAGTGTTGGGGATGACTTTCCCTGCACTCTCCTCTTGTTCATAGATTTCCCTTCTTTTAATAAATTCCCTACAGGACGAGTTTGAACTCATTTGATGCAGAGCTGTCTTCCTTAGCATTCTTTTTAGCAATAAACTTGAAGGCATTGTAAAAAATCCTGACTTTGTACCTCCTTTCAGGAGGTGGATTTTGCTTTGACTGCAGTACATATGTCATTGTACTTTGGAGGTGATTCCTGTCACTGCTCACCTGTGGGCACTCTCTGGGTTCCACCAGGAGTCCTGGGAGCTTCACTGAGTGTCCTGGGGTGCAGAGGTGGGCACAGCCCCTCCTGCTGTGGCTCAGATCCCAGCACTGGCTGCTGCAAGGTCTGGTCCTCACCTTTGAGGCTTCTCTCTCTGTCCCCTCAGAGCCACAGCCCAATGTCTCGTGGCTGCCAAGAGAAAGGGCTTTGGATTTGTTTGAACTTCACCATTTCTATTTAATAGAGAAGGGTTTAATCTGAAGTTTATTACACTACAATTTGTCCATCAGTCTTTTCTCTCTGAACTTCGAAACCACTGAAACAAGAATGGGTTTTGATAGAAAAATTTTTGCCCAGGGTTCTCCTCGAAAATCTGTGCCCTTGTTTTGCCTGTCCTTAGAGCTCTCCCCTCCCAGCACCAGCTGTAGTTGTGTCTAAGTGTGTCAGGTCATCTGGTGCTTGAAAAGCTCTTGTCACTGACCTAATATCAGCATGCTTGTTACCACTGCCTTTAATTTAATGTACCAGTAACAGACTGCATATCTTTTTTTTTTTAATTTTAATTTTTATTTTAATTTTTGTTTACACATAGGTACCATGGACGGGGTATCAGGGTAGGTTTGCAGTCGACCCTCGCCTCATTACTCACCAAGCAGCCATGGCATATAACATGAACCTGTTACAGGCACACGGGCGAGGGTCTCCGATCCCCTATGGCCTGGGCCACCACTCCCCTGTTAGCCTGGGACAGCAGCAGCTCCCACACCAGGACAAGGAGCAGCACGAACAAACTCGAAATGGTCAGTGCTTGGAATGCCTCTGCAAGCTGCTCTGCTTTGGGGGGAGCTTCTGCTTGAAATGGAGCTGGAGAAAGGACTTTCCTTCCTCCATCCTTTCTGTCCTTCACCCTTCCTCCCTAATCGAGGGACCCACAGATGGGGGAAATAACCTGCAAATAGAATAGCTGGGATATTGTGAAATTCAGAAGGAATGGGAGGTGGGAAGGGGTGTTGAGGGTGTAATCGTTCCATCTCCCTTCCACAGTACTGCTGATGTTATTTGCAATTAACTTGGAAGAACTACTTAGTGGTTATTAATGAACAAAGTGTACAGATTAGAGGGAAAGCGTTATTTAGGTAGATGATACTAAATGTCTGTGGTGCTGTAAATGGCATACTAATAAGTCAATTTTCCTGTGTCTGGGGGGGGGAAATCTCAAAATACTAATTTTTCTATTGAAACTAAATAATTTTGTAAATGTTTTTAGGTAAAAGTGAAAACACTGCTGGACCTGAAATCAGTAAAATTCGAACACCTGAGAAGAAACCTCTGGAATCCAAGCAGGTGGGTTTCTGTTGTCTGGGTAGCTGGTTTGGCTCATTTGTTTATTTTTTGGGGATTTGGGTATTTTTGTTTGTTTGTTATTTCACACTCTCTTAATGAATTTAATCATTCTGTTTAGTCATTCATTCATTTAGTCAAACCGAAATGTTTTTATTTCAATTTTTTAAACGCTTATTCCCAACACCTTGTACTCTCCTTTTGCAGGTTGATTTAGAAGCAAACCCTCAGCAGAGAAGCCCCGAGTCCCGTTCCAGTGTTGCTTACCCCAATGCTAAATTCCACCGCAAAGACAACCCCAACCCCAGGCAGCTGAACCTGCACCTGACCCCGCCCCACTCCCAGTTCGCAGTTCCCAGCCGCCACTTCCAGCACCTCTCCCAGATCCCGAGGCAGCCGTACCCTCTGCAGCAGCAGCAGCAGCAGCAAAACCTCTTAAGCCAACAGCAAAATCACTTGCCTGAACAGCCCAACCAAATGCCACCCCAGCAGAGCCAGGTAGTTCAGCAGCATAATCACTTGAACCAGCAGCCTCCACCACCTTCGCAGCTTTCCCCTGCTTTCCAGGCAGGCCCCAGCCAGTCCTTTTTTAATAATCCCATTCCCCACCGACCACATTCTCCTGCTGTAGATGCTGTGATTTCAGAACAACACCCCCCACCTCTGTTACAAGAAGTCAATAATCCTTTGAGGCCTATTGCACAGCACAACCCAGTTCTGCCAACCCACTTGAACAACTTCATTGAAGAGAATCCATCAGGAATGCCCTTAGGGGACACTTTAGGTAGGTGACTTTTCTTTATTTAAATTCAGAGTGTGCAATTATAACTGCATTGAAGTGAGAATGAAGGAGGTATTTACCTTTTTCAGGCATATTGCTCTGAATTGGGTCATTGTTGGGTTAGTTTCCATAAGTAATGTCATTGAGCATAATTTGCTGCTTGAGGCATGTTTGAATATTCAGCACTTTATTAGAAGATTCATGTTTATATGATTTTCCATATGATTTAAATAACCAGGTTATGCACTGCAATGCAGTTAGTATATAATAGACCCTGGAATAAACTGTATAAAAAGTATTCTTTCTTTTTTTTATTCTGACATAAAGATCTTTAAAAAGGGGCATTAGATAAAATTTTTTTTTAAAACTATTTTTGTAGATCGTATGCATGGAAATGTAGCTTTGGAAACAATAAGGCAGCAACAACAAGCCAGGTTACAGCAATGGAATGAACATAATGCCTATCTCAGTCAAGGCACTATTCCATATCAACACCATCACCATCCTCATCTACCACATCTTCCTCAGCAACCAATTGGATTACATCAACAGCAGCAAGTTAGGGCAAACTGGAAACTTGCCAGTAATACAGAAGATGAAACAGAGGCAACATATTCAAGGTATTTGTTTACTGAGTCATCAGAGCTTGTGTAAAATTGAGCAGTGGGCACCTATCTGTAACACTGTGATCAAGTGCAAGGCACTTAAAGGTATTGCTTTTTGCTGCTGTTATTATGAAGGTTAAAATAGTTGGCAGGCTGACTTACAACTATGCTTTTATTATGTGTTATGCTTTATTCTGTTAGTATATTGGGTAGTAAAGCTGTAGTGGAAAAATATTTTTATGGAGCTTTTCAGTGCTGTATTTATGGAATGAGGAATGGATAGAGAGTAACAACCTTGTGTTTTATGAAAGAGGTGTCTGAGTGTAGTTAAGGCCTATTTAAGTTGTAAATTCTTCAATTTGAAGTAGCAGTCTGAGATTTGTGTGCTTGAAAAGAAACAAAACGGCCCCTCCCTAAACACTGCTCCCCAGTGAAACCTAAACTTTCCTTCCTTTTCAAAAAGCCTTTGCTTTAAAAGCAGATTTTTTAAAAAAATGCTTGTATTTGAGATGGAGCTTTAGGGGGCAAGAAAGGAAGCTGTTGAACATCAACAGAAAAATGGTTCCAGTGGTCATCAACTTTAATCATGTATATTGTAAAGGCTGGATTTTTAAATTGCCTCTGTTTACTGTCATCTCCCACTATGCTTTCTTTTCCATCTGGTTTGTTATAGCCATGGTAAAGCATCTAAATGACCTCTTAGCTGACTCTTTGAAGTGCTGAATTGAATTGACCTTTTGAAGAAGTTTAGAAGTATATTGTGCAAGTGAGGGGAGTCCCTGATTGTTCTGGCTTTCGCCTTGAATGGGGTTAAAATTGTCTTTAACTGTGTGAACTTTTTACTTTGTGTAGTAAAGCAGGAAATCCTTACCTTTAGTTGTCTCTTAAGAGATAACAAAAAATTGATTCTTCTGACTGGAAAGGAAATCTCAAGAGTTATTAAAACTTTGAGATGATTCAGGTGGGTATTTCATCCAATTAATCCTCTTGTGCCTAATTTCTGATTGCTCAGTCACATCCTTTGAAGTTAGGGTCAGCAAGTGCAAAGATGAGAATATTTAAATTCAGTGTTCTGTTCTCTGAGTGTTCTACACCTCAAAAAGAGCGAGATTTCAGCAAAACTTCTTTTTTTTTCCCTCTTTCCCTGCTGCATTTCTTGCGTGGGTGCAGATTCCAGGAGCTGCTCCGGGAGCTGTCGCAGCGCGATCCCAGCGAGAGCCGGGACGGCGCCGAAATGCCGCCGCCCCAGTCGAGACTGTTGCAATACAGACAAGTCCAGCCCCGGAGCCCACCAGCACTCCCTTCTCCTTCCTGCAACTCCAACCACAGCGCCCACTTCCCCAACTTCACCGAGAACAGCAGAGACATTGAACTGCCCACTAACCCAGCATTTCAGCAGCATTTACCCCAAATGTACAACCCCCCTTTCTCAATGCCATCCGAACACATAACCCCGTCTCCCTTGAAATACCTGCAACCTGATGGGTCCTGGACTTACGCTAACCTGCAGCAGAATCACCTCCTGGGGCAGGGCTTTCACTATGGAATACCTCCACTGCCCCACAGGTCGCAGCAAAGCCCTTTTATACAAATCCAGAATCATCAGCACGCAGTCGGTCAGGAGCCATTTCATCCACTCGCATCTCGAGCAGTTTCTGCTTCTTCGCTCCACAGCTTAGAAGAGGTGGGTGTTCTGTCTGCTCTGCACTTGTCCTCTCGTTGTAATATCAAAGAATGTTGTGAAGTGGTCGTGAATGCAAAACACCTCACTCATTAGAAGCTCACAGTGGGAATTTCTGTGAGGTGGAATCTCTGCGTCTCTGCTGTTCTCCCTGAGCAGATCCGTGGTTCTTGTTGCTGTAGGTGTAACATTTTCTCTGCTCGATGGGAAGCCTTGGCTTTTGGAACATTACTCTGAGGTTTCATGCAGTCATTGCTCTGTGTCTGTGTGTGATTTATCTGCAGTGAAAATCAACCAGAGCCCAGGTGGCAGCTCTGGTCAGCCAGCTGGGATCACCCAGCTCAGTGTTGAGCTGTGCATATGCTTGAGTTCCATCTCATAAGAGACCAGAGCTGTAGAGTTGTTCCAACATGGTCCAAATCCTGATTTCATAATCCCACCCTGCCTGCATTAATTTGATACAAAGCCTGATTTCATAATCCCACCCTGCCTGCATTAATTTGATACAAAGCCATCCTGTGTGCTGGAAACCAGAGACATCCAGCTGTGCTGCCTGAGGCTGGCTCCAGCACCCCCTGCCACGCACAGCTGGCTCTGTCCCTCTCCCTCTTCCCTTGTCCTGGGCTCTGAGGAGGTGTGCCAGCACACACAGCTAGGACAGGTCATGTTTTGAACAGGAGGTTTTAATCCCTGTTGGAATCTGAGGTGCTGAGGAGTGTTTGATGTGCAAACACGGAGTATCCTGGAGCCAGGTTGCATTCCAGGAATGTGAGAATTAATATTCTCACTGAGTGCATGTAATCCAATATTTGTACATAAGTGGCTTGTTCTGTGATGCATTTCTGTTAAGGTTTTTACAGAAGCTGGGGAGGGAGCCTTGCTCATTGCTGTCTCACACAATACATACTTAATTTGTTTATCAACTTCTGAAAACAGAAAATATTTAGTTTATGAGCCTGAGAAAAATAACTAAAATTGAATTTCAGTGCATTTTACAAATTCCTATCTTAGACAGATCCAGAGAGGTTAATGGAGTCCTCAGGCCCAGCCAGAGCTGTAGTAAGGTTTGAGTTTATAGACATTTAGAAATTTGCTGTCTCACTCCATTAAGTCATACCACCCTGTATAAAATCTAATACTTTGTGACAACAGTTAATGCTGTCAGTACAGCGGGACATAGGAACAATGGCTTTTCAGCAGTAATAAACCAATAAATATTCCTATAGAGCTTGTGACAGTTCCTGCTATCTGAAGACAAATAGAGTGAGCCTTTATGTAATTAGTGCAAATTCAGTTTAGTTCTTATTTCTTCTTCCTTTCAAAATATGTGACAGAAATGCCAAATGCAGTAAAAGTGTTGCAAGACAGAGACTTGCTTATAAACTTTCCAAAACTGCTGCTCCAGCTGGTAGGTGGGACTGAATGCACAAAGAAATCAAAATGGGGTTTTAGGTGTGTTTTTGACAGACGTCCCTCAGACAAGGCACTTGCCAGGGCAGATTTCTTGACTTTTGGTACCCTTACTAAACTGTTTCCTCAATCACTACTTATAAAGCTGTTAATTGACTTGATACTTGAAAGCTTTTGCATGTGTTCAGTCAAACCAGATCTGAACTGCACATCAAAGGGAATACTGGAGTTATTCTGTATGGTCCTGTACTTGCAAGTGTCCAGAACTTGACAAATTCCTGATTGCTTACCAAAATAGCCCTTTTAAACTCAGTGAATGTATGCTTTTTGGGTTGATTTGGGCAATAATTTCTTTTTGTCTGTTTATTTGTTGTTGAAGAATTTCCTTAGGGGAGTGGATTGTCAGGATATCCAAGTGTTGATCCCTTGATTGTGGCGACAGAAATAAGATATAACAATTTCCTTTCATGCACCTTTTTCTCCTGTCTAATTTTTGTAGGTGATATAGTAACAATAGTTGGACTCTGCAAGCAAGTTATTGATGTTTGTTTAGCTAATTTCTTGTGACATTTCATTAGGATTTTTTCCCCCCTTTACCAAGTCTAGATTTACCTGTATGACTTTTCTGTTATTGGTGCTCTTGTTAGTCCTTGCAATTGGGTATAAATACTGTATTTATTGTTAGAAAGAAACTGTAATACAACAGACTTGCTTTGAATCTTGAGAAAGCTTAGAGGGCCCTTAAATGTGAACTCTTGAAGCCCACAGGTTAATTGATGGAGCTCCTGCCGTTTTCATCTACATGATCTACAGGGTTTATGGAAGCAAGTAATTTCTGTGGTTTCAGATAAAATTCTCTACATTATTTCTCCTGAGGGCACTTGCTTCTCCAGAGCATTTGTTTTGTGTGTACAGAACTCAGTATACAAATGTATCCTGCTTACCCAGATCCTGGTGTACGAGTCACTAATTTATCCTTTGGAAAAGGAAAAGCCATTTTTTTCCTGACTGCATTGTAAGAATATTTTTTTCTTCTGTGTTTCTGTGCTTCCTTTGCTTCATCTGTAAATGCTGGGTATCTTCCTCCTCTCTGTGTGATCCAACACCCATGTAGGAGTGTGAGATATAAAGGTTGATAAGAATTAAGAAATCCCAGCTGATGTTCTTTGCACTTCCTTTAAAATTCTCTATTTTGTGTGATCAAAATATGTTATCAGTGACTGCAGTATGCATCATATATACTTGAAATGTGTTAGTATTTTGGAAATACAAAGAACTGGGGGTTTTTTGGTAAGACATTTCAGGGAAAATATTGAATGGCAAAATGGTATTTGATACATGCAGTTGAATCTAAAAGCTCAAAAAGCTATTTTATGGTTTGTTTGTTTGTTTTTTAAATGTTGTTCACAGTATGAACCAAGAGGACCAGGCAGGCCGTTGTACCAAAGAAGAATTTCCTCTAGTTCAGTCCAGGCTTGTTCTGAAGAATTAAGCACTCCTCAAGACAGTCTTGGTCAGTGTAAAGAGCTTCAGGACCACAGTAACCAGTCATCCTTCAACTACTCCTCCCCTGAGCTGTGGGTGAACTCCTCCTCCTCTGCCCCGTACCCAAACATTCCATGCAACGGAGCCAGCAGAGCCGTTCCCCCCCGGGAGCTGCTAGGTGGGTACAGCTGCTGCTTCCCAAAGCCAATCTAAGCAATTATTTCTTGTTTCAGTTGGTATAGGTTTGCTTGGAATAATCCCATTTCTTGGTAACATCCTGCTCCTCGGCTGAAAAAGCATTGCTGCTGTTTAGTCTTCTCCAAAAGCTCCACTAAACCCAGAAGGTCTCTCACAGTGGCTTCAAGTGCAGCTGAATTTGTGCTGCAGGCAGCCGAGGTGACTGGTGGGATTTATTTGCAAGATAGATTGATTGTTTCCAGAATCTGTGATATTTTGTGTTGGTATTACAGTCTGAGGGAGCAACACATAAACTGAATTAGTGCTCTCAGCGTTTCTCTAGTAAATTCTGGTACTTCATCAAAGGAGTGACGAGTTTAAATTCTCCCTCACCGTGGAGGAGTCTCAGTGGAATGTGGCTTCCCTGGTGGTAGCAGCAGTGCTGATTGATTGAGCAGACAGAAACTAAATTAACTTTTCAGAGATGAAAAAAAGCTGCAAGGAGAGAGCTGGAGCAGTTCTTCTGTTTTCTGTATTTCTTGTGTTTATGAAAAACAGTATTACCAGGGTAGTACAGGTTCTTCCTGTGATTTTGCTTTAAGAATCTCCATTAGTAATTTAAAAACAAAATTAATAAAAATGTAAACAGTATTCCAGTGTGGATATTAAAACCACTTAATAATGTGGAAAAAATATTTATAAGCTGGTTTTATTGGCCTTAAAAGATTTAATTGCTTTTCACCAAACTTTATAAACGTAAAACGTCTTGTAATTTCATAGTAATTCTGAAGTAGGAGCATGCAGAGTAGAATGAATGAGAAAAGCTCTTTATATCAGCGACAGCACTCAAGAATTAAATTCCTAATGTGCCTTTTAATTTCCAAAATGTGAAAATGTAATTTTGCAAACCCATATTTATGGCAGCATCTTTCATGCTAAGTTCAAAGCTTCAAGCTCAGGGCACCTCCTTCAATCTGTTTCTATTTTTACTGCAAATCAAGGAGCTGAATGCACAGTATTATGTGGCATTCATCACTGAATTGCTCACACAGAGTTGCTCTCCATTCTCCCTGGTTATCTAAGAGGAGCTCAGGAACTCTGGCACGTTTGGCTTGGGGTCAGCCAGTCCCACATTTGTTTGCTTTAATGAAAAGCTTGAGAACCTATTTGTGAGTAAAGTCCTCAGAGGACAGATATGTGTGTAAAAAGTACCATTTGCACACATTTGCTGTCAAATACTAAATTCTAAGTGAAAATATCAAATTCTCACTGGTAACTGCATTGGCAATGAAATGTTTTTTATTGTAGTTAAGCATGGTTTCTGTTTTGTCAATAAATGTGTATGAAACAAAGCCCTGTATCTAATGGTTCATGCAAACACATCTCCATTTTATGGCTGCTGTGGCTTTCCACGTTTACAGCTCACTGCCTGTGATCATATTTACAGCCCAAATGTGTTTTATAGAGCTAAGGGTTAATGACCAGTGACTGCACTGTTCTCGTTAGTGTTGGTTTTCATCCCTAAATAAAACCCCGTGAGGATGTGATGCTCTGAAAGTCCTGTCCCTGCTTGAGAGGGAGTGACCCTGACTGCAGACTGCTCAAAGCTGATCTCTCCTGGTCACCAGGAGTGGCACCAGTGTTGGGTTGGGTCAGGAGGGATTCATGGAGCACTGCTGTCAATTCCTCTGGGTAGTTCTGTGCAGGCACTTCCCAAAATTGCAATCTGAGAGTTTGATATGCATTGCTTTTTCTGTTCATGGAAAGAAAATTATTTAAGTTTTCATTCAAGATGTGTATTTCATATTTTTCCTTCTGTTAGACACCTCTACCAAACACAGCTTTCACCTCTGGCCCTGCTTGTCATTACTTGTCTTCTCTTGAGTGCTGTGGTTATTTTGGGAGGTTTTTTGCTCGTGTTCTGGGTTGTCTGGTTTTGTTGAATCATAGCAACCCTAGCAAAATTGCTTTGCTTGTGTTCTTTCCGTATCCATTCTTCTATGGGTTGGTTTTGGGGTTGGTTTTTTTTCATTTTATTTTTTGGTGGGTTTTTTTTGAGTGCTCTATAAAAAGCAGAAGCCTGTGTGTGACCCTTCCAGTGAGAAACTTCATGTTTTTCTACTTTTGCACTCATTTGGTGGTAGGTTCTTGTAGATGCACTTTAAAAAGAACATTATATGATTAAAGACTGAAACAATTACAGAATATATCTGTTGCCCAGTTCCTAGACTGTTGCAGATGGAACATGGAGCTGTGTTTCCGTGTCGTGTCTCTCTGGCTGTGCAAGACAGCAGAATTCTCCAGACAAAAGTAAAGGACCTCATTAGGATTCAGGAAATTCATTTGAAAGCAGTTTTATACCTATGGTTTAAAGCACCATTTTTTCTGATAGTTACAGGAGTTGTTAAATGTGGAGCAAGAACATATCAATTAGCAAGAATACATTCAGCCTGAAATACCAATAATTAGTTGGTTGGCATTCAGGGCTCTGAATTGCTGTTGGAGAATGAATTATATATGGTGCTGTAAATTTTAATTTTAGCCTATTAAGCTGTAAAGCAAGAAGAATGAAATACTCTTTGTGCTGTCTCAGTGGATAAAGTGCTTAAATTAGAGTAGATCCCATTCGGAAGCAGCTTCCCTTCGGTGCCCCGGAGAAGGCGCTGTGCGGAATTGCAGCTTTGGGGTTGCAGCTGTAGGGTACAGACACACGGAGGAGGTGCTTGCTAATGTCAGTCTTGTGCTGCTGCTGCATGCCCCAAGAGCTGGGAGTGAAGTTTGGTACTTCTAGGCCAGGCTGGATGGGGCTCGGAGCAAGCTGCTCTGGCGGAAGGGGATGGAGCAGGATGAGCTTTAAGATCCCTTCCAAGCCAGCCCGTCCTGGGATTGTGTCATTGCAGAGTGACTGAACACGGCAGATGGGTGGTGTGGGAGGGGGTCACCAGAGGGGTGGTGGCAGCTCTGCCTTTGGGCTTGCTGCAGGTGGATTGGCTGAGTCAGAGCCGTTCTTTGCTCCAACTCCGGTTTCTCCTTCGCAGCTCCCCCGAAGGCGGCCAAGCCCCCGGAGGAACACCTGAAGGCTGAGAACATCCAGCTCTCCAACTCCTTCAACTACAACGTGCTCCAGCATCTGGGCCAGTTCCCCCCTCTGATGCCCAACAAGCAGCTGGTGGAGTCCAACAGCAGCAGCCCCCAGCCCGCGGGCGGCACCAAACCCGTCATGTCCTACGCCAGCGCTCTGCGGGCTCCCCCCAAGCCCAAACCTCCTCCTGAGCAGACAAAAAAGAACAGCGACCCCCTGTCCTTGTTTCAGGAACTTAGCCTAGGTAGTTCATCAGGTAGCAATGGCTTTTATTCCTATTTTAAATAATCAGATTATTTTTTTTAGAGAGAATTTAATTTTTATTTGTGTCGGTAGATCTAAGATAGTTGGGGCTTCACCTGTAGTTGCAAATATTCCCTTTGTTTATATTGGTAAATATATCCTCACTTAATTGCTTTGCTGCTAGACTTGCAACTAATTTTTTTTTAATTATATTCCATTATTTTGCATTTTTTGATGTGGGTCGGGTTTTTGGAAGCTTTTCTGTAGGAAGACACACACGTGTTATTTTTTAATTTGTGTAATGTTAATTATATGTTGCATTAAACTAGCAGCTGAGAGATTACCTGTACAACTTGAAAAAAGGAAAAAAAAAGGAAAAAGAAAAAAAAAGGAAAAAAAAAGTTTGTCTAAATTGTATTTAAGAAGATTGTAAGTAGCATTTACATTTATTCAATAACATTAGCATACTATGCTGGGTTTCTGTACCAGAAATGGCCAGTTAATGTAAAAATGTATGTTATTTCTGCTTAAATTCATTTAATTTTTTTTTTTTTAATAAAGGTGCAGCATCTTCTAAATAATTTCAGTTTTATCAGCTTTTTTGTGAAGGGATGCTGCATTCTCAGACTTTTATAGTTTTAGATTCTGTATGATGTGGTATTGTATTTTCCATCCACTGTAGGGTAGAGTAAAGGCATTCTTTGCAGACACCTATGCCATTGTTTGGAAACATTCAGATAAAAGTATTGGTATACTTTAAAAAATAATAAAAAAATAGAAAAAGAAGAAAAAAATTAACAAAAAACCCAAAAAACTCTACATTTTATTTTTGGACAAGCTAATAATATAAGCTTGTTTGAAAAGTTAATTTGATAGGTTTTTTAAATGAATCATGAAGCTGAAAATAAATTTTTAGGTATGTTGGTGCTTAGTAGATTTAATAACTATTTTAAAAAAAATGCGTGAATTTAGTAAAATACTTTTTTGTTTGTTTGTTTAATTTTTTTCCACTATGCATGTGTAAATGTTTGTAATCTGGCTTTTTCCTCCCCTCTTCTCCAGTGGTATAAAGAATTGTGCCGCTTTAATTTTTTTTTTTTTTCCGGTAAAACTTTTGGTACATTATTTGATGTTTACATTAAAATGTGACATTATACAAGGAAATTCAGATATTTTGCTAACTGTTTTGTTTGAGGAACATCATTAAAGAAGAGATTTAATGTTTGTCAAAGCTGTATCCAAATTAATCTAAATCTTCTGGGGATCAGAGTGGTTACCAGGTTATTTATCTCCGTGAACCTGGCCCTTAAGGAATCCAGTCTGAGAAATTAATTATGGGATATTAAAAAAAAAAATTAAAGAAACAAATGTGAATGAAAATTCAGAAGATAAAAACTCTGTGGATAAAGATTTTTGGTCTTGCACACTGTCCCTGCTTTGTGGCCGGGGAGCTCCAGAGGGGGGTTGTAGAGTTTCTCCTTTATTTCTTTTTAACCCTCCTTTTACACTTGAAATAACTTTAAATCTGGGAACTGGTTTACAGGGATGAGCTGGGTGTAGTTCAGAATTCCTCCACTTATTACCTGTGAGAATTGAAATTTTAGAGCTGTGAGGGGGTGATTTCAGATTTTTACAGCTGTCCATGGGACACTTTACTGTGGAGCAATGACTCTGCTCTATTCAATCAGATTTTTGCTCTAATTACAATCAATCAGGTTCATTTTTTTTGCATTTGACTTCATGTGTTAAGACAAGGGTCATTATGTAATGGTGTTGATTTAAACTCAGTACACTGCAGAGGTTTGCATATAAATTTTTTATTATAAATCTTTGCTGGGTTATGATTCAGAAACTTATCTGAAAACTTTTTTTCCTTCTTTTTGCTGTAAAGCAAAGCTCGTGTAACTCCTTAATTTATTTCCTAATGTTATACCAAACAAACAATGCTGGGGAGGGGACAGCCCCTGCCAAGTTCTGCTCAGCACTTCAGCACAGGGCATGGAACCCAGACGACCCAAAAACGAGGAGAGGCCAAATTCTGCAACCTTGAATCAAGCAAAGCTGCTGTTAAATGGGTTTTTGCCAAGCTGCTGGCTGCAGGAATGGGAAATTCACTGGCAGAGCTGAGGTGGGATCCAGTGGAGGGAGGAACAGGACTGGCAGAGCAGAGATGGATCCAAAGCACTTCACGTCCCCAAGTCAGCATTTTGTAATTTCAGGGGTTTCAAAGTCACTCAGTTCTATGGAGCAGCCTTTTGATTCTGTTCACCATTTAATATTGAATATTAAACTAATAAACATCACTTGTTAATTTACTGTTATCTGTCGATCAGTTAAGGGGGAGATGGTTGCATCTCACCACATTTTATTCTGTTTTACACTGGCATTTTATCTACACTGGAAATACTACAGATAAAATCCCATTTTCTCTCTGATTTAGAATTTCAGTTCTTTGACTTTATGAAGACCCCAGCTGGTTTTGGTGCTAAATTTTCATAAGTGCTCTCACCCAGGAATTTGAGGAGGATATGATGGAGATGATCTGACTTAACAGCTTTGGCATGAATCATTTGGATTTCTTAGAGCTAGTTTTTTTCCAAAAGATTTTTTTAAAAAATGTCTTGTCTGGCCATTGTTTGTCACATATACAGCCCTGAGTAAGATCTTTGGTTTTTGGAGCAAATTATCCAATGAGTATTGAAGTCATGTTTAGAAAACCCCAAAACTGTATTTTCAACTCTCCTAGGGCTTCAGTCAGACTCCTATTGAAATGAAATTAAGCCTCACAGATGGCTCCAGTGGGCACTGCTCAGGCTGCACTGTAAATATGGACCTGTTGCAATTGCAGGGAATATTCAAAATTGAGATAGTGTAAATTATCTCAATTTGGGGGAAATGAGTGGAGACTGGGGCATATGCACCCACTGGGTATTTGGCTCCTTGACTTTTTTTAATGCTTCTGTTAGTGCCAAATCCCATGCTCCTTGTCCAGGAATAAACCCCCCATTGTTTTCTGTGGAAAATTGAAATGACAGATCTAAATTTAGTAAGCTTGTATTTGATCTCAAGAATAATTCCTTGGTTTATTTTCTATAATTCCAGGTTTTGATGAGAAAAATCTGGATGCCTCACGGGAGGTTGTCAGTGTAGTAATAAGAACTAATGAAAAATGAAGGGAAAGATTAAAAAAAAAATTCGGATTCTAAGAAAAATAATTTTTGTTACAATTCAGTTAGCGCCTCCACCCTTTAAAAAGCCACTTGGTGAATGCAGCTGGCATGTTTTTCAGTGTGAATTCTTATGAAGCTGTGAGCTTTCCCCTTGGCCAGCCTAGGTGAGGAGCAGCCAGAGGTGATGCTGCTCTGCAGCGAGCTCAGCCTGACCTGGAGCTGCATTCTGAGGTAACATTCCCACCTCCTGATGCTGCAGGTGATGTCCTGGCTCCTCTGGCTCATGCTGTGGGACGTGGCCGTGCTTGTCCTCAGCCTGGGCTGTCCTGGCCCTGGTCCTGCAGCTGCCAGCCTGTCCTGAAGGACGTGGCAGGCTCAGGCAGAGCTTTAGGGGCACGTCCCTGTCTCTCTTCATCAGGGCTGCTCCACGGTGTGCTGGTGTCCTCTGGAGCACCCTGCAGGGCCGTGGGTGTCCCCAGGATGGCTGCAGTGTCTCAGGTGTGCCAGCAGTGCCAGGCTCCCAGAGCCCAGCGTGGTCACAGGGACAATTCCCCTCCTTCCCCCTCTGTGCTCACATGGCAGCTTTCAGTGTTGCCACAAGACAGCTCATAAATTGCTGTTCTGCATAAAGCTGGCTGCTTAGAACCAAGGCCCCAGCATCCATCTTTTCTCCTGGAGGTTGTCATCTAATCCAGTTTGTCCTGGGTTTTTAATTGTGTGGGCTGTGCTGTTGCTGACCCTCTCGTCCTGCCACTGACTGCGAACCCTGCGAGTGCCATTCCCTGCTTTGATTAATTAATGTTTTGTTCCCAGATTTGTCAAGTTCAGCTGGTTTTTTTTGCAGAGATCGTGCTCCATAAGCAATTCTTTTGCTATGTGTGTAGTACCTCAGTGCTATAAGTAGCACCAAGAGCAGTGTTTGACCACTCCAGATTTTCTTTTTAGCCTGAACTCAAGCATATCAGAACCTGCACATTTCCAGGGCAGTGAGCCCATGATGCTTCACACTCTGCCCATATCATCCTTCAACTCATTTGTTTTGTTAGTTTTTAAAGGTTCTAGTTTTCCTAGAAAAACTGCAGACAATTAACTTGTCAAGACAGATGGTGATGATCTATGGTGCCTATGAAAATTTGCACATTGTATTCCTTGACATGAAATATGGGCTATTTCTGTTGGTGTAGCAATACTTGTGCCAGTCTCTCTTTGCTGGCTGTGTCAGGTAGAAAGGGCTGAATCCTTCTAAATTTGTTTTTTTTCTTTCATTCAAGAGAAGTAAAAGGATTTGCAGCAGCAGCAATGGAAATGTCAGTTCGGTGTGGGGGTTTTTTGGCAACTTTAGCTGAGAAATGTTGAGGAGTTTTTACCTCATTAAGGATTAATAGATGCTTCTGACAAATTACAGAGTGCTCAGTGATATGAATTATCCAAGACTGGTTAAAAGATGTTGTCAGTCCCTTTTCCAGAAGACTTGGCTTCCTGCTGGAGGGTAAATACCTCAACGAGACCAGCTGTAAAGCCACTGAGGTGCTCCCAGTGAGACTGGTGATACTGGGCATGAAGCTGAGCCACAGCCTGGGGTGCAGCCTTGCCAAACAGAATTGTGCTGCTGCTTCTGTTAGGTAGAAAATAGTCCAGAAATCCGAGTTTATTCCCTTCTCTGCATTTCTTTGAAGAACACAGCAGAGCAGCTCAGTGTCTGATACAGAGTGGGTATGTGTGATGTCTGCATGCCTTGAATTTATGTGCAATAGCTTCAGTGGAGCCCCAGCATCGATCAAGTGTGACAAAGCAACGACAATCCCATCCTCTACTTCAGTCAAAACAAAGTTGTGACGCTCTTTTCTTGTCCCTTGGTGACAATGGAAAGGAGAAATAATTGGAATGGATGCTTTTAGAGCAGGTCCCACTGCTGTGTGTGTTTTATGGTACAGAGCAGCCTAAAGCTCCTGCAGTTAAGTTAGAAAGTAATGCAGTGTTCCAAGGGGCACTGTCCCACTGTGGAGAGAGGAAGCTCCTTTTGAATTAAGTTTAGGCTGAGGTTTATTCTCTAACAGTTTCTGACTGTGGTCAGGTTCCTGGCATGTGACTGCCCAGCTGCAGCTCTGCACAGAGCCCAGGGGCTCCCTGTGAATCCCCAGGGCTGACAGTGCTGCCAACTTCTCCTGACTCCTGTGTCAGGTGTGCTCCTCAAGAGCTGGTGAGAAAGTGGCCCTCTGCAGCAGGGCCAGGGATCTCATTGCAGGGGGAACAATTCCCAGATCTTTGGAGCTTCCTGGAAATCATTCCCACAGCCGTCAGAGTGAGGAGAAAAAGGTGATGGCCACAAGGAAGTCACAGAGTGGGAAGGCATCAGTGAAAAAAACAAAATAAATTAGTAAATACCTGTGCCTTTGTAAACTAAGTCAGAGTGATCAAACACCTGAGCATCCTGCACGTGCTGGTTCTTTCTGGGTTTGGACTAAAGGAGAAAGAGGGGTGTGTGCCAGGATTTCTGGGTGAAATCCTTTCTCATGCACCCACCTGTGCTGCCGTGTGTGCTGAGCTCTTCTCCCCCCACCCGCTGGTGCTGGGCTGTGCCTGCAGATCCTCGTTGCAGATGAAGGGTGTTCAGGAGCTCAGCTCACTGCTAAACAGGCAGTTTTCTTCTTCAGGGTTGCTTGTCTGACACCTTTTCTGCACATTAAATTCACACAGCACAGCATTTAAAAACAAGGGGAGCAGATTCTCTCCACGCCTCGCAGCAAATCTTACATAAACAAAAACCTTCACGTCTTCTGTTGCGTTGACTGTGATTTAACACTCAGGCTTTGGCAGACTGGAGCAGCCCAAATCTCAGCACTGTGGCTTGGGCAGTGCCCTGGGGCACGTCTGTGGCTGGCTGGGGAGGGGACAGGCACTGGTGTTGGATTAGGGAGTGGCAACTGCCCTGAAGGTGTCCCTGGGTCTGGTGGTGGCAGGGCCAACGCTCAGGATTTCATGGTGGCTGCTGGTTGTTCCTTGTTGTGCAAATTGATTTGCCTCTCTCTCTCTGGTGCCTGTTTCCCACTCTGTTCTTTGGCTGTGTCCCAAAGCCAGGAGTGCTCCTGTTGGATGTGTAGCAGCTGGGTTCCCATCCCTGTTTGTCTCTGGGACTCCCTGCTTTTCATGGTACATTCTTGAAGTTCTGGTGGCTCTTCCCTGCTGTTTGCTCAGCTGAGAGAATGAAAACTGAAACTGGTTACAGCTCCCCCCTCCAACATTATATTCCTTTTCCTTTATGAAGGCCAATTACTTTTATTAACTCTCTTAAAACACATTATCAGCTCTGGCAGAACAAACCTGCTGCAGGAGCAGAGCCCTTCCCACCGTGAATACCAATGACTGATTTAATGGATGGGTCCCTCTTCAGCAGTTCTTAATATCTGGAAGAAGAAAATGAAGTTATCCATGTGCTTCTCAGTCTAGCAGGGACCGTACAGAGCAGGGAACGATCACAAAGCCTTAGCCTGGAGCAGAAAGAGAAAAAAACTCAGTGAGTCTTAAGGGCTTTAGGAGGCATCTGCCTGAGCTGCCTGAGCTCTGGCTGTGGGTGTAGGATCTCGATGCCGAGAGCTGTGTGTTTTCTCTGCCTCATGAGTAAAGTGATCCCAGAGAGGCTGTAAAACCTTGGATCCAGGCCAAAGCCCAGCACTTACCAGGAATCTTTCCACTGCCCTCACTGGGGCTTGGATGAGGCAGGTCAGGAGTGTGCAGGAGATGGGTGAGACTTTCCAGGGTGTGTTTATCTGAAACATGCATGTCTTGCTCTTGAGTATCAGGAAGGGGACTGAGTGGCATCTTGGCTGGGTAAAAAGTTGGCCCATCAGGATGAGAACCCACCTAGAAATTGCTTTCTCCCAGCAGAGGCATTGAAGGAGAGGGATGGCACTTCAGAAAAGGTGTGGATGGGTGAAGGGCTTCCCAGGGACTACAGGACCTGCCACTGCTCTGTGTGGGGTGAGGAACTCAGACCCTCTCCCCAAACCTTGCTTATCTCAGCCCATGGCGTGTCTGAGGTGATGATGAGGGTGATGATGATGGCTGAGCTGGGAATGCTGTTGTTCCTGCCAGCTGCTTGGCTTGGATTAATCTTTGCTGTGTAGGTTTGGAGGTCCCAACCCAAT